CAGATTGGGCCATTCGAAGCTTGTCGGAAATTGGCGACTCTCGACAGAATCGATCTGATTGGAATTGTCGAGAGAATATTCAGACCATCGACTTCGGTTATTATAAAACGTTATTGAATAAATTGATTAACTGATTAATTGTTAGTTTTTTTTTGAAAATAATAAACATTTTTTGTAATTCTAGAAAACGTGAAAAACGAAAAACCTGAAAATTCACGAGCGAATTTTCATTTCAAGCGAGTAAATCATCCGTAAACGGTTGTTATTGAATTCAATTGTGCTTTTGAAATGAGAGTTATCTTTCTTCTTTCGTTTCTTGTTCTGTTCTCGTTCGAGGAGGTTCTCTGGGGTGAGTCAATTGCATTCACAATTTCAATCTTCAATTATCTCGTTTTCAGACTGTGTTCCTGATATGATGTGCATCTTAGGTGGCTGGTGTACGGACAAAAACAGATCATGCTTGCACCCACCTGGATTCGTAGAACCGAGCTGCTGCGGTGAGTATCGGAATTCATCAAAAATGTCATTTTTTCGTGATTTAGATGAAAACCCCGTCTGTCTGAGTGGTTGGAAATCTGGAATAGAAGTTAAGAAAAACGAATATATCACATGTAACATAGCCAACACATCACTTGAAGACTGCTGTGGTACGTTTATTCAATTTTTATTTAACTGGGAGATCACTTTCGCGGGAATCAAGAATCTAAAAAATCACGAAATAAGTTAGTAATCTAAATGTGTATAAAAGGTTAATGAATATGAAATGTAGATTAACCTGATTGATTCTTATTTGCCAGAGTAGTTTAACTCAATTTTTATGAATCTAAAAGTGGCACAGCTTTTAATTAAAGCTGTTTTTGAATTTTTACATTGGACGCATAGTTGGCATCCAGCGACTGTGTACGCTGGTTGATATACGGGCTGCTATTTTCAAAAAGGTCTCGCTTTTTTCCGGAAAATAACACTTATTTTGTAAATCTACCTGCGCACAACAGTCTCCAGATGGCGACTATATTATTTCGGAATATTTATCTATTTTATTATTTTTATTGGTTTTTTTTACTTTTTTTAAGTGCTTTGTTTTGTTTGTTAAATAGTTTCAAATATTCAGGTTCGTAGTGAAGATATCGATCTCAGAATCGAACCATAAAAAATGGAAAACTCACTTTGTTTAAAATAATAACTTTCAGATATTGTTTATCCGAAATCGTTGATTGGTCACGAAATGTTCAATTACACAAGTAAAATCAACTAAAATAATACAATTTCACTGTATTATTCTATTACAGCAACATTGGAAGATTACCCGGAATGCGATTCGAATTTGGACTGCGGTCCCAATCAATTTTGCGACTATCTGGTTACCTTCAACCACGATAAATCCAAACGAACTGGGTGCTTCAATAGTGAGTTTCCGTTTACCTCAAATTAAGATTTATATACTTTCAACATTTTAAAAATGTACCTTTCAGTCACCAAAAGAGCGTATTCGGCAATAAAGTTCATCGACGACTTCGGAGTTCGCTTGTGCGAATCAGACGCCGATTGCGGCGATTTCCACTGTTTGGACGAAGGATTCTGTGGAATTCATGAGTTATGCCAGATTAACTCCGTCGTTCCCGCAAAGACGCCGATCGTCCACTGCGTCGAGGACATGGTTTGCGTACACCTCATGGAAGGCATGGTCGGAACAGGCGGATTCATCCCGAAGTGAGCGAAATTCAGAAAACTGGAAATCTAATCGAGAAAATTGGAAATCTAATTTACAGTGCCTACTGTAACCACACGGGAAACTTCTGCTTTTCCGGGCTATTGGAAGTGTGTTTTGGGGGAAGTCTCGTCCGGCCTCTGCTGAAATGCGAAACAGGCACGATGGCCGGTTTCGAGACTTGCAATCCGGATTTGGGTAATGGCAAACTCGACGGATTTTGCACAGACATAGGAGTGTGCTGCGAAGGTAACAATAAATGATTTGATACTAAACTCACAAATTCTTAACAAATACGTTTAAGGGCCATATGAAGAGCCGGTTGTCTGCCCCGACGGCATACACCCGCTTTTTATCGAACCGGCTTGCCAGCGTGGAGAAAGCGGATATTTGGAGTGCCCGGAGAATATCGAGAATTGCACTTGCGTAATGGGGTGGCCGTGCCCGTCAAGTAGTCAATTTGATTCATTCACATTTAATTATTTTATTTTCAGTTGCCGCCAACTCATTGTTGGTCAATTTTGGGCGGCCGTTCGTTGGGCAGATTGGGTGTGATCCTTCACGCCCAATCTGCTCGCGAGCGGTCAACGGGTATTGCCACCCCGAAACAAGGACCATCGCACTCTACGGTAGATATTTCCCGGGATTCTTCGGGCTCTCCGAAGTTCGCACATGTCGGATCAATAGGTACACCATGTTATTACTTACAACAAAAAAATTAAATATTTGCTTTCAGCGAATGCGAGCCAGACGAAGTATGCATCTACTATCTAGGAGAAGGTCAATGCGCAGCGTTCCCGAACCCGAATTTCCTGGTAAGTTATTAATATTAAAGAACAATCAATAATCGATTAAATTTCAGGAAGATGAGAATGACGAAGAAGAAGAAGAAGAAGGTTGGGCCGAAAGAGCAGTGGATTTGTATCGACAAACGGCGTACGGGATAGCCATTGTCTGGGTGTGCTTCCGAATATATCGGTTCTTCGAAGTTCGATACTTCCCAAACGCCTACGATCAAAGAATAGCGTTGGAGGAGGCGTACGAAGAGATGATGATGAGGCGAATGGAGGAGCGACACGAAGAAATTCTGGAGAATTGGCGTCGGGAGAAGTACGGCACACGGCACACGAAACAAACTTGCGAGTGCGTTACATCGACCGAAACACCGTCTTCTCTTTATTCGTCGGAACTGAGCGAGGCTGAGAAGAGGAAGAAGTGGACGAAGACATTCCGCAGAGGAAGAGGAAGACGTGTCATGAGGCAGAGGAAACGAATTCACCAAACTAGGAGAAACAAGAAGCGTGCAAGAATGGAGAAATCGAACGAAGAGCATATGAGGCGAAGCACACAAGTCTTGTTGAAGGCTTTCGTATACGGTGCCCCGTTATTCCTTATTATTGTTATTGGATTTTTCTTCGTTCCCAACGTTGTTCTCAACGCAATCACTACCGAAATAGATGAATTGATGAAGGAAGTCAAAGACATTGGTCAAGATGCAATTTCGGGCGCTTCGAACGATAAAGACGAGGTAAACTTTTTTTTAATTATAATAAAACCCGAATAAAAAAAAAGGAAAGTGGGAGATTTTGAAAGTTCTGTTAGTGTGCATTCCTAGTAAAAGTGTTTACGGACATTGTGTACCGTACCCTAAAATTATAAAAAAAACTCCAGTTTCGTCTATTCAATTAATGATTTAATTAATTGTTTTGCAGCTTCTCAAAGTGCTGGTCAATGGGAAAGTAACCATTGCGGATTACGTGTCCCGCGAAGAAGCCATGGTCATCATTCCAACACTTGTGATGACGGCCCTGTTTTTACTCGGTATTGTTTATTATTTGACGCGTCCTTTCACCTAATATGATTGTTGATGCCCCACGGATTCATTTGACTTTTCTGAGTTTCGTTCCCTTAAAGTGATATGAAAGTTAATTACTTATTTTTAGTTCCAATTGTTCATTTTTATCGTGTTTGTTCTAGAACTGTGCTGGCCCAGATTTTTATTTATTTTTTCTTATTTCATTCTATAACATTTTCATTCTTCTTTGATTTCTATTTTTTTCTTTAATTTCTTTTTTCTAAAGTAAATTGTTCATTCTAATGACTTTTCCCACTGAAATTTGGTTTTTGAATATAATTACTTACAAACTTCATTTTTTTGTACCAAATGTTTTACTAAAATTGTTCTTCTTCTTAATTCTCTTCAAGTGTTAATTCGTTGTATTAACCACGATTCATAAAATTCTTATAATGTTACAATAATCGTGTTTAACCATACTCACACGAACTATTAAAGGGTTTCAAACAATAGTGGATTCCACGAATCTACAGAAATATAATTCCTTTCGACACAGATTTTAAATAGTCTTGTACGGATATCAAACAATTACTTTATGTGCAATAATCAAATAATACGTGTATTTTTTGTTTGAAAATGAATTTTGGTTGATTTCTACGTTTAAACTCAATGATTGCATATGGAAAATTTGGTAAGATTTTAAATTTATTTCATGATTTTAGTCAAAATTTGTAGATATTTCAGGCAAACTCATCCATATTTACGTTATACTTATTCTATATTCTGAAGCAGAAAAATATTTCGATTTTGATGATTCGCTTTTCAATAGTTATTGCCGAAAAAGTGGAGGGCATAGCAAAAATCGAACTGACATCGTGAGTGGTGTTTAGATTGAAATTCTGAGAAGGATTATAGTTTCAAGGAACAGGAGTAGCTTGTGAAAATGCGAAATTCCAGTTTCCAGTCAATGAATTTGTAAGCATTGGGACGAAAAGCATGCTAGTTAAACCAAAAACCTGCAGATTGGACCATTCGAGGCTTGTAGACGACTTGTCCCATATAGGGTGAAAGCTGGAAGAAAAATTGACGAGTATCTCATCGAATGTGATTATGGTTTGAATTAGAGATAATTACTGGAATTATGTTAATTAATTAGTTCATTATTATCCTTGCCCACGTAATTATCTTCAAATTTACGACAAATGCTATTTTATGCCGGAAAATGCAACAAATTATAATGGAATCGAGGCAATGTGTCGACCGAATTTCAAATTGGCGACTCTCGACAGAATCGATCTGATTGGAATTGTCGCGAGAATATTCAGACCATCGACTTCAGTTTGGATGGATTTCCTCACAAATTATATAGGAATTTATTCGGAGCATAAATCAGATGATCTAGCAGAAGACGATGAATATTTCGATTTGAGTGAACAATTTAATGGCAAATTTGGCTATATCAAACCACTAGATATCAAAGATGACAACATTCTTTTTATTTGCGAAAAACCATACAAAGACTCATATTCTGGTTTATTTTTGGTTGCATTCGGGTCAGATTGATTGATTTCAGCAGTAAATGGAGATGCTGGAAGATATTCCGAGATATTCTTTGAAGAATACGCACTACCGAATAATATAGTGTATCCGACATTTGGAAAATATGGGTAAATCGAATATGAAAATACTTTTATACTATATGGAAGACAATTTTAGAAGTTCATTCAACCGAAATAAACCCAGCACAGAAGATGAAGACAGAATATGCAAAGTATGTTTATTGTGAGCTTCAGATGAATGGCATATTTAGAAATTGATGGGATCATTTTCTGATTTTGGACATCATCAATTCATTAGATTCAACGAGGATCATTCGGTGAATCTCTCAATTCCTTCGAATTATTTCTCGCAGACCAAATATGTTCATACTGGAATTAAAGAAACCAATTCAACAAGGTTGTGTGATGGATTCGAAAATGAAGAAATCTGTAATGCAAGAAGGAATATGACGCCATCGATGATAATGACAACGGATGCAGGGTGATCATTGAGATCCTTCTAAGTTCTAAAATCCTTTTTTATTATAGTAATTGGCAATTAACATCGGCTCCTTTCGGACAACGTTCTCCAATTTATTGTCATTCACGTAAGAATTCTCGAGATGACGAGACAGTTTTATCGATTTTAAGGGTATTACAATTTCGATGAAAATGGCTATTGTCGTAGTGATTTCACCCCATTTATTAAAGGAAATTATATGAAATGTCACAAGGTCAGTTGGTAAAAACCAGAATAGTCCCCTCCCCACCATCAGCAAATTTCTGAGCATTACCGAAGTCTTCAAGATTCGAAAATCATTTATAATACGGTAGAATACGGTAAAATAAGAATTTTAATTTAAGAAAAAAGAACTAAATAAAGGCGGAGGTAATCTAGAAAAACGAGAGCGACGTAAATTTGAAATTGCAAGGTGGAAAACCAATTAAACCAAGTCACCCCCGGCCTTAAAAATTCGACCAAATTTTTGTGGTGGGGAACGGGCTTAACTAACTTTTTGCCAATTAATTGATGCATAGAAACATTAGTAATTTCATACTTTATATTTCATACTTTATATTAATACTTAAAAATTCGGCCATGACTTCGCGGCCATATTTCCGTGGAGGGGGAACATGCTTAATTAATTTTTTGCCAGTTAATTAATACAGAAACTTTTGTAATTTCATACTTTATAGGCTTATGAAAACCCTCCTTATACCTATTCAACAGCGACGAGGAAATGTGAAGATAATATAGGGAAAAATACCTGCAAACATTGCAGTGATCTATCGGGAAGGTTAAGCGAACCTGAAAGTTTCGAAGAAGTGGAACTACTCGGCTGTAAGAATTACTACTATAAAAAATTTACTTTTCTTATTTGTAATTTTTCATCTTATAACCCAAAACCAATCGGTCCGAAAAAAAATTGGGCTCCGGAATCAACCTTATCCGATTTAGTCGGATCGGATTGTTTTTTTTTTCTTCCGGCATTTTTTCGTGTTTCTTGCTGATTTTTTTGTATTTTGTATAATTTTCAACAATCTTGTATTTTTTCCATTGAGCAATCGTCCGCTTTAGTTTTGGCTTGAAATCAGGCCGAATTCGGACCTTTAAACACCTTCGTTATATTTAAGGACTAAAACGCAAGAAAAAAGTCTAAATGACCATTCGACAACAAGTTTGAATACAAGAGCACAGTAAACTCAATGAGTAGTTTCTGATTTCCTTGTACGCGAACGGAATATGTCAGAAGCCTTCAGACGATTTCGACGAGATTGAAGTCTGGGGAGCTGGCTTATCAATCCAAAAAGTTTGATTTTCTTAGATGAAAACCAATTGAAGATGTTGTTGGTCTTATGAATGACTGGATTGTCTTGTTGGGATTAGTGAACTTGGAGTGTCGTTGCGAGTAGGCGGGGCGGGTCGATGACGTGTCGTCCCGGAAATTTGCAAGTATGTTTATAAGTAAAAAACGATCGGCCAGACTTTCCGCGCACAGAATGGAAGCAGTATGCCAGCCTTTAATGTGCTGAAAGCCTCAAATAGACGGGAATGGAACAGACGGTCACCTGTATACCTCGAGAAACTCACCGACAAAATGCAAAATCGAATATGTGAAACGATCGAAAACTATGGAGGGACTGCTAATTATTGAGTTTACTGTGCTCTTGCAGTCAAACCTGTTGTCGAATGGTCATTTAGACCTTTTTCTTGCGTTTTAGTCCTTAAATATAACGAAGTGGTTTAAAGGTTCGAATTCGGCCTGATTTCAAGCCAAAACTAAAGCGGACGATTGCTCAATGGAAAAAATACAAGATTGTTGAAAATTATACAAAATACAAAAAAAATCAGCAAGAAACATGCAAAAATGCGGGAAAAAATAGAGGCCAATACTTAATGGTGGAAAAACGCTGAATGGGGAAACGATATATTTTTTGCCTTAATGGAGGGAAGGGCTGGGGTTAAAGTTGAAAATGATATTTCTGAATGAGGGTGAGGTTATATCAAACATTTATCCATATGAGTGTTTTTCGCGCTTTAGACTAACAAGTAATAGGCTTAAGTAAATCAGGGCTTGGCTTAGCCCAACGAGTTTGTAGAGAGAGAACCGTTTGAAAAACGAAACCAATTAATAATTCCACGGTTTCACCTAAGTCTTTTATTTGAAGAGCAAATCAAGATTGGATGGGTACTATGCCTATAATTCTGAATTTATAAGCGCACTCGAAATATGTTTTTGTAGTTCAATTTTCGCGACGATTAATTTTTTTTAGATTTCTGAAATATTCATCACAACTTTTCCCCCGTTCAGCGTTTCCCCCCCATTCAGTATCTACCAAAATTATGGGGTGGCGTATCATTATGACGCGCACTTTATTATCAATCATTAGATTTTCTCAAAATTTTATTAGGATTTAAACATTATGAAAAGAAACAATTTTAAAAAAATATCGTCAAGAAACAGTTGGCATATAAAAGTTAATCGCCCGTACTACGAATTTCTAGCGATCGCCAAAGACGGCTGGGACTACTATCTTGGAGTCAAAGTCTGGCCTGATAACCTATTCTATCGGAACTATCTTCCTGTACCTGATTCAACGTTCGACTTCTACTGGTCATTATGGGATAAGACCTATTCGCCTGGACCGCCAGGACAACGCATAGTTCTTACGAAAAACAAGCTTCTTAAGACGTTACAGTACGTTTTTAATTGATTCAATTTTATAAATTCATCTAATTATTTCTCGTTAAATTCGATTCACTTAATCACTACCGCTGAAAACAATTGACAACACATTAAATAAATAATTGTAGCGGAATGGTGAGAATCGGATACATGTGTCAATTTGTAGTCGATCGACCGAATTCTTTTGAAAAACTCTACTAAATAAAATTATTCGCATCGATTTTATTTAATTTACAATAAAGTTGTAATTATTTTCTTGATTTGCTTTTCAAATAAAAGGCTTATGTGAAACCGTGAAATTATTAATTGGTTTCGTTTTTCAAACAGTTCGCTTAAGGCTAGGAGCAACAACTCGTTAGACTAAGCCCAGCCCTGATTTACCTATTGCCTGTTAGCCTACATGAAGCGCGCTAAACTCATATGGATTAATGTTTGAAATAACCTTACCCCTCACCATTCAAAAATATCATTTTTCAACTTTACCCCCCCCCCTTCAGCTAAAAAAAACCCTAAAAAATAATACTGTGGTTCTTCACCTTTTAATTTGAGGAGTCCTCTTTTGGATGTGCCAACGAATCTTTCAGCTTGTCCATGGAACGGCGGCGATCTGATGTGATGGATTATGTGAAATGATTACTCACGATTCTCTTTTATTTTTAGTTCTATTTAATGAAATTAACTAATCCATCAAGCGTGGCGGCCCTCTGGTAACTCAAAACCAATCGGATCTGACAAAATTCGGCTCTAGAATCAACCTTATCCGATAGGTAATTCTACGGATAAGATTGGAAAATTGTCGGATCAGATTGGTTTTTTGCGTATTTTCGGATCCGATTGGTTATTTGAAGAATCCGATTAGATTTTCTTCCAATCCGATTGGTAATTATTCGAATCTGTTTTGTTTTAATGTTTCAATTCGAATCGGATTCGACAAATAACCAATCGGATCCGAAAATACGCAAAAGACCAATCTGATCCGACAATTTTCCAATCTTATCCGTAAAATTACCAATCGGATAACGTTGATTCCCGAGCCGAATTTTGTCAGATCCGATTGGTTTTGAGTTACCAGAGTCGAACCTTATTTTTCGGGGACAATTTCTGTAGCGGCGAGACGTGCCTGAGACCGCCGTACGGGATGCGCTTTTTGCTATTATCCCATTTGGACTAACTCGTTCTTTTGTATTGAAAACAACGAAATACATGTTCACACGTGGCGAGACCATTTCGAAAGGCGCACCACGTAAATCTACACTCATACCGACTATAATTCGAAAAATTTGAGTGTTTTGGGCATCTTCACTGTCAGCCATTTGGCATTTTTGGGCGGCTCCTCATTATGTGCCTAACATATTCATTCACATTACACCAGTTTTAGAAAGTCGCACGATTCGACTTTCACTTGTCGATAAATAGATAAACAATTTAGATTTATCACCAGCAGAAATAGTAGAAATAAGAAGCCGTAATCAGAATATGACGAAGATATGCGTTCAATTGTCTACATATTATTTGTCGTATTCTCCTCTGTTCAAGCAGGTCCTTATGGATTAAGGTCCTATAATGGGCATCTGAGCAACTCAAATCAATATTTCTCACGATACTCGAACTCTTATCCTAATTCTTATTATTCCCAACAAAATTCATTTGGAGTGAAGTATGATCGGAATGGGAATTCGTTTGTTGGAGAAAGAAATAATGGAATATTCTTGTTGTGCAATGGAAGAGGATGCCCGGGAAGAGGAAAATGATAATTTAATTTTTAATAAAATATTCAAATTATTGTGAATTTATAAAATTGATAAATACTAGACGATTATGCAAATTCGGCGCCTCTCGAATAGTTCGCGATTCAACGATTCTTTTTTTGTCCATCGCCAGTAAATGCACTCTTTGGTTCGAGACCCGTTGATAATGGTGTGAGATACTAGATTCCACTTTTTGTTATCAGTTTACATTCGACCTTGTGCCTCGCAATTGCCGGTTTGCAACATTCTGGTGCCGTTGCACACATTCCGACGGCGATGACCGGCCATCAGATCGTCTATCCCGAGTACGAGAATTTTCTCGACTCGATGAAGCGGCAAGGCGGCGCGTTCAAATTCATCGCGGCGCGCAAACATTTTCCGATCGGCTCGAAAGTCGGCGAGCCGCCGCGATCGCGAACACTCGCGCAAATCGAGAAATCCGTCATGGAGTCGTCGAGAGTCAAAGTAGGTTGTCCAACACGACGCGAATCTAGTCTAGTTTCGTGCATTCGTGTAAATGTCACTCAATGCCTAGAAGAGATTAGCGCAAAAACATTTGTCTGATAAGATGCCAATCGGTTTCGTGTGTTAATCAAACAAGCCGTCTTCGAATGACTGACAAGAAAATGAGACGAATTTCAAGTTTTCCAATTTCCAGAATGTGATCACTGAGGAATCCATTCGCCGAAAGTGCGCAATCGATGAGGTTCGGAGAGAAGCGCTCGACCTTCTCAAGGAAATGGCTCATCAGTACAATCTTTGGAATGTTAGAGCACTTGGATATTTTGTTTGTTCTACTCTAGAAGTAGGAATTCGCATTGATTTCGGTTTCATCGTGAAACGAGAATCATTTCAGAAGTTGTATGACGGAATTTATGTGAATGAGCGACAATTGGAGAAAATTCGGGAGCGTAGCAAAACCGATCCGATCGTCTTCATGCCGTCACACAAGACATACTTCGACTTTATTCTTCTCTCGCTTATCTGCTTCGACTATGTAAGGCTTCGAGAAAATTCACACCATCGCTCATTCTCAGAATATTCAACTTCCCGCGATTGCCGCTGGCCAGGACTTCATGAGCATGAAATTCATTGGCGAGGTCCTGCGACGATCTGGCGCATTTTTTATGCGGCGATCATTTGGAAATGATAAATTGTATTGGGCCGTATTTTCCGAATATGTCCAAACGCATGTGATCAATAACGATAGATCGGTGGAATTTTTTGTGGAAGCCACTCGGAGTCGAGTTGGAAAAAGCTTGCATCCGAAATATGGAATGATGCAGATTATTTTAGAGCCTTATTTGAGAGGCTCCGTGTTCGATTTGGTACACTTTTTGTGATCAAGAATTTTGATATCAAAATATCTCAGGTAGTTGTCCCGGTTTCGATGAATTATGATCAGATCCTCGAGGAAAAACTGTATGCATATGAGCTTCTTGGGTTTCCAAAGCCGAAAGAATCCACATCAGGTACACTTATATTTATAATTTTTGAGGAAATACACAAAATTCGGAAACTATTGCATCATCTTATGAGCGAAAATTTAAATTTAAAAATCAAAATTGTGGGCGTGGTCACTTATTGTAACTGTTGCACGAGTTTTAGCAACATATCGGCACACTTCATTCTTCATTTTTTCTCTTTAAATAATTTATTATTTCCATCTTAAACAGGGCTTTAAAATTTGTTTTCCTCACAGTTTGATGTTTTTCAGGACTTTTGAAAGCTCGCGAAATTCTCAACAAAAAGCATGGATCTTGCTTTTTGACATTTGGAGAACCAATATCGGTTCGCAATTATTTTGGGGTATCTTTGCACAGAAACACGTTTGTTTGTCAGGTTTTGCAAACAATAAAAAAGCATTGTTTAAAGAAAATTTCCAGCCAGATTCCCAGTTTGTACTTGACCAACAAGCAAAAATCGCTATTCGCAAATTTGCGCATTACATTGTTGAAAAGCATAATGAAAACTCGGTGATCACTATTTGGAATGTCGCGTGCACTGTTATTTTGAAGGTAAATTGGAAATAAAGATTTTTCAGGATTTCAATTTTCAGACTCTTGATGATAATGACGATTTTGTTTTCCAATATGACGATCTTCATTTAAAAGTCGGTGATTTGGTGCACCTATTGAAGCAGATAGGGGTTACTGTGAACGTTAGAAAAGATTTGGATAATGATTTAAGGTGCCCAATTTAGATTGAAAAATATCAGCAATGTTTTGTAGGTACTACCTCGAACTTCACAACGACCTTTTCCACCCGTTTGATCTTAATGCTTCCAATTTTCATTTGAAACTTTTGGATTATCCGGTGGCTGCCGACGCAACCCATATTCCGGTGTCGATAATGGAACGATCTGTGAGCCGTCTGATCCTCACAACATATTCGAACGGATTGATTCACGCGATCGACAGTGAAGGAATTCTGTGCACGTTATTGCTGAAAAAGTCGGTGGCAAACATTGAAATTGTGAAAACCGAGTTTTGGTGAAAAAGCGTCAAGTTTGAATTATGAGAAAATTTAAATTTCCAGTTGGCTTCATGAAATAATGAAAAGAGAGTTTGTTTCAATTCCAGGCGAACTGGATAAGCTTTTCCAGAAAACGCTGAATATTCTGAAAAATGCTGAGATTGTGGGAGTCGCCGGGGACACAATCAAATTGATCGACACATTTATTGGAAACCAATTAGCCAACTATATTCAGGTTTTTGTTTGAAAAAAGAAATTCAAAAACCCAAATTTCAGCCATATTTCATTCATTTTGAGACTATCATTGATTCGATAGACGATTCGATGTGCACTATGCCGAATATCAACAAATACATTCAAATTGTTCAAAGGGTTTTTGCCGAAGAACAGCCAAAAAAAAATAAACAAGTTGATAAAATTGCAGAAGATCGCCGACTTTTATAATAATAATCGCAACAAAGTTCGACTTTCCTTTTTATCAACGGAGCCCATTAAAAACGCAATAACGGTGTTGGCAGAAAATGGGGCCATCACAAAAACAGTAATACCCCATTTAAGATTAAAAATAAAATTGCCGACGTTTTCTTCTAGGAAACTGGCTTCGACGTCCATTCGGATGTGTTAGCACAAATTCGGAAGCGATTATCAAATTTCAGTGGCTCGACGGCCGTGTTCTCGTCGAAACTCTAATTGTTGTTATTGCCGCGTTTTTATTGTTGTATACATTGTTACGGAGACATTTTATTATTTTTTTTTCGGGCCTATTTCTTCTTCTTATCGGCACCAAAAATGTCTTGATTAAGACCAGCGAGTGTCTGAAAATGCTCAAATTTGAGAAGCGAATTGATCGACCATCGACGACCTGATAGTTTGGATCAAAAGTTGCGGCTTTTCCTTGCGGATTGGCTGGTGCTCTCGGCCCACCACCTCCACCGCCGCCACCTTTCTCCTTGAATATGTCGGCATTGTTGAGTCCAGCAAGTGTCTGAAAATCGTCAATGACTTCATGGATTCCTATGGATGACCAACTTGGTAGTTCGGATCGAACGTCGCTGCTTTGCCTTGTGGATTCGCTGGCGCCTTGGGACCACCGCCACCACCAGCGGGCCCTTTCTCCTTGAATATCTCATTGTTATCCAATCCAGCGAGTGTTTGATAGTTGGGATCATAAGTGGCAGCTTTGCCCTGCGGGACTGCCGGCGCTCTCGGTCCACCTCCACCCGCTCCAGCTCCTCCTTTGTCCTTGAAGATGTCCGCGTTGTTGAGTCCAGCCAACGTTTGATAGTTGGGATCGTGCGTCGCAGCCATCGCCGGCTTCGCTGGAGGCACTGGTGCCGCGCCGCCGCCCTTCGGCTGGAAGATGTTGTCGTTGGATAATCCGGCGAGCGTCTGATAGTTCGGATCATGGGTTCCAGCGATTTCGGCGCGATTCTTCGGCGGCTTCGGCGCCGGCGTACCCGCGACATTATTTGGCTTCTTCTCAACATTGAGAAAATTTCAACACGTTGATATCAACCAACCTGCTGATGCTTCCTATTCCGTTTCGCCGCCTTTCGCTTCGACGGCTTCTCCGATTCATCATCCGTATCATCGGCTTCCGTGTCCGAATGTCCTCGCTTATGTTTCCCACCTCCGCATGCCGTCAAGTATGAAGCCGTCGACACAAATGCGAGTATGATAATGGCAAGTTTAAAAACAGCTCGTAGCTGGATCAACTTTTTATTTGAAAAAATGATGTTCTTATAAACCGGATGTTACCTCTAATAGCTCAATTATGGCGAGAACTCCTACTTCTTGCATGAGATTTTTAAACCGAACCTATTTACAAACACAAAATGACCTTATATGGTATCACGTGTCCCAAACTATTTATTTATCTCGAATTATATAATTTCTCCTAATTAATTTTTATTTTTGTTATCGTCGCTCAATTTCTTCATCATTTCCGGATCTTCAATGATTTTTCCAATATCCTAAAATTATTACCATCAGAGGTCTCGTATGGAAAACATCAATGCACTTTTAATGAGACATTTTGAGATCCCCTTTTCGCCGGCTTCGGCATATTCGGACCCGGTTTCCAGCCGATAAACGAGCACAATTTGAATGTCGCCGGGTGTTTCTCATCCTTCGCATACATCGCCTTCAATTTTCTTCAAAATTCGAGACAACCACTCTGAGATCATACCTTGTAAATCGCTTCGGCTGCTATTAGAACATCTCTACGAAGGGTGAGACTCCTTCGGAATGTGCAATGCGATTCTCCCATCAATTGTAGATCAATCATCAGCTCGAACATACTCGGATAACCGACCTTCAAATTTTCTCAGAATATGTCCGCAAATTAAGTTCTAGCTGCCCGACATACTTCAATTTCATCGGTGTCTAATGTGATCATATCGAATCCCGCCGATGATAGAAGGCCGCCGATATCCTGCGATCGAACAAATGGACTAATATGCGAACCAATACCACCAAGACGTTCCATCTAAATACCCCGTTTCCTAAATCGATCAGAAAAGTCGAATTTAAAACCTCAGCGAGTTGAAGAGAGCATCGAAGCTCGTAAAGGCTATCCTCGGAGATCATTGTTCCTATAAATGGGCAATCGGGCTTCAGGATATGGTAGCAGCGTCGGAACCATCCCGGCAGATCATTGATCCAATGAGCAGACATCGAGGATAAAAGAAGGTCGAATTGATTCTCATCGAAGCCATCGAGGATCTCCTCATCGACACATCTACTCTCGACGTCGACGCCGTCATCGTCGCATCCTTTATTTGCCGCAATCATACTGCTACTCATATCAATCTAGAATTCAAAATTTCGAGCATCTCCAACTGAGTTGATCAACCTGAATAATTTTTCCAACGTTTTCTTTGATAAGATGGGGCGCGATTTGACCGACACCGCATCCAATGTCGAGAGCCAATGGATTGAATTTGGTGAGATCGAAAACCTTATCAGCCACTCTCCAGCCAACTTCTTCTTTTAGGTATTGGGCCGCGTTGAAGTCCTTCTGACGAACCGCCCATTCTCGCTGATTTCGTTTCATGTTTCGATCGAATACCTCAAATATCCGATTTTATTCAAATCAATGAATGAATCATGAAATTGTACAAAAATTGATTTTTTTCTTGAGCAATTGCCGAGTGAGTTTTTTTTTTCCGCACGAGACCCAAAAAGTGAATCAATAGAAAACAATTGTAGAATCTTTAAATTTTCAGCGAATTCTATAAAAATTGCATGTGACGTTTCTTAAGAATATTATTTTTAGGAATGGTCTTGTAGAAATGATATTCCACAAATTTGATCTATATGAGAATATTCACCAGTGAGCTCTGCTGTTGACTCGTCGACGCCAAACTGTAGCATCGCGTCGAGGCCCGTTTTAGGTGCCGCCCAATTCTGCCAACATTCATGCCTCAAACAAAAATCCATGCTCCTTTAAAATCAAACATCAATGTGCCGCGCATGTATAATATGATAAAGAAACATCTAAAACAAAAGAAAAATATAATATTCAATAAAGCCATAACCATTTATGGAATCAACCGATAATAAATTATTATTATTTTCATATTAAGGCAAATTATTATTAGCAGTAACAACGAAACAATCAAAAATTACATGTAATCATTCGAATTTGCACAAATACCCAATATTATTCGAACGATAAAAGCTTTGGAATGTGACTAATTTGTTTTCCGGGTTTTTGGTTTTCTCTGAATGACAAAAATTAAAAGAATATTTTTTAAAAACTTACATGTCTAATATTTTTCTGAACCGCCCTTGCGGCTCCATTCATCAATCCATTTACATACGGTATATTCTGCAAAAAAACGACAAATAATTGAAAAAAAAAACGCAAGAAAAAATCCTACTCGTCCTTCAATTTCAGTCGCATTTCGTAACATCAAATCATTCAATATATACCTTCCAAGCGGCTCATTTTCATAATAATTCGTCAGCGACCTGAAATTTGTCAAATTCATTTTTGTCACGGACCGATTTTCAGAACAATTGTCGTTACGGTCCCATCTGAAAACAATTTCGCTGCAATCATATTTGTGTATAAAAACTATCTTTGAACAATATTTTTTCGAAGGAAATTTTTAAAATCTCTCTAAGAAATTGCCCTACGCGAAAATTGTATTCGTCAGAGATTTACGGGAATTTTGATGGCTTTCTGACCTAAAATTGCCCAAAGTTGAAATTGGGAAACGTTTTAATCAAAAATTACTATAACCTTCTCCAAAAATCAAAGAAAGAAAAAACAAATTTTTGAGCTTTCAGTTCAAATTACCCGATGCATCATTCCGAACGCTAAGCATCTTACTTTACTTTTTCATGCAAAATCGCTGTGAGACCAAAATACACCTTTATGTTAGACCCCCATGATAATCGCAATTTAACAAACTAAACGGGATACCTTCTCGGCTTTCTGACAACGATATACATCAAAATCGAAATATGAAGAGCATGAAGAAGCAACGACGACCACCACGTCGACGGGTAGACATTCCAGCAAAGCTCGACGCCTAACAGCATTAGAATTCTGGAAGGTTCGAATTTAATACAATTATAAAATTCTGGTTTTCTCTGGACACCAAACAGCAATGAAGAAAACAATGGCAACATTGATGAGTGGTCATACTTGATGAATATCGACTTCCACGGAATATCAGCCGGTTTCAGAACATTCGGATAATTGATGAAAAGCAAATACGGCAGCTGATGGTAGTACCATGAATAGAATTGATAATGAAGCGATCGCGCGAATGTGATGCCAATCAGATTCGACGTGAAGAATGCAAATATCGTTTCTGACAATTCTAAGCATTCTTGGGGGTACATTGAAAATTGCCAATTACCTGCCGATCCCGTCCGCGTTAATATCTGTTTGGAAAGAAGCCACATGCCTCGATTAAGGCCTCCTTTGTCCCTAATTTATAAATATACACATCCATTCTTCTCGTTCGTTTTTTTTTACCTGAACCACATCGTAGATCCAAATGTCATTAAAAATAGAACATGCCCGAAAAGGAGCGTTATATGAAGGCGATAATCAAGAAAACACTAAAACGTCTTTCTTTTTCGTCAATTTTTTTTCGTCAAAAATCGATGCAAAAGCTCACAAATTCTGGAAGAAATCTCCAATTCACCGTCCATTTGTACATAAAAACTCGTCCAAGATCGAATGATCGCATGATATACGATTTCCAATCATGGAAAAGGAATGGGAAGCCGATGTAAAGTTGAGTTATACTTTAAAATCAAAAATGAGATCCATCGAGGGTAATTGAAGCTTACCCGCAAACGCATATATAGAGAAATGTGCGCATAAAACCAGTGTTGAATAAAAGTGTGAAAAATAGTGCAGGTGCGAATAGTAGAATATTCATTTTGATCGATACCGCAAAACTGGAAATCGATTCGAATTTTCAGGGATCATCGAAATTCGGCTCAACCTGTACAGAAAGCAGCCGAACAGCCACTGATTCGATAATATTCGATCCAATGCCGCGTAAAATATGAACATCGCGATTGGATCATTGAAGAGTCGAAGCACGAATATTGAGTGTATCCGGTATCCGGTAGCGCACACAAAAAGTAAAGCAAAAGGGGGCACCTGAAATTCAAAAAAAAAATACTGAAAATGAGGATCATCAGCAATGAATAAAAAACAAACTTTTTTTTAAAGAAAATTGAAAACTGAAATTTTCATTAAATTTTAATATGGGGGAAAAAGACTAGAAATAATCAAATGTAAAACCATAAGCTGAAAATACTTTTCAACTCGACCAGTATAGATTTGATTGGAGTTGGTGAAGAAACTGTAAAGAAAAAGCGAAGCCGCTACGAGACCCAAAATTTCTATTCTTGTTTAAATTTGAAACACAACCTAAGTCTCTTTTCAAAAAAACATTGACAATTCTCTTTGAAACTATATGCGCCTTTAAAACTGAAGGCTTAGTAGCAGTTGTTTGTTCTTCTTCGGGAAATCAATACTAACTTATTGCCGACGTCGCGCGACTGCGGAAATTTGGCTAAATGCCAAAAAAATTTTATACGAGGGGTCTATCCTTATACATAGGCCCGTAAATCTATACTTTAACTTTTACGCCAAGACCACTTCCATTGGTTTTTTTTTTGGCATTTAGCCAATTTTCCGCAGTCGCGCGACACCGACAATATCACATTCGGTTAATTTCAGTTTCCTAGATTAAAAAAATTTTTTTGACGCCCATCCTCAGCAATAAATGCGCACCTTTTTCGATCTGTACAATATTTTGAACACCATTAATAAGTTGAGCATGTAAAATCCCATGAAAATATATTGCGCCAGACGAATATTGGTGCCGCGATTCGTCAGATTGTACAATATACTATAGACAAATAAATGACCAGCCGGGTACCTGAACCAAATTCAACACGTGGGGCAGATGAAAAAAAAAAAAAAAGAAAATCCGCGTTCTTACACCAATGGTCCCGTATCGCCCTCAATTCTACTGTAATTCATTATATTCTTTTTTGTATAGCATTCAACTTGCTGCATATATGTCGACCAATCGATTTCGGTGTCTAAAAATGGGGGGGAAAATGAAGGAAACGAGCAGAAGTCTTTGAAAATTACATGGTATTCGCTGAATGATAAAATATGTGGCGAACAAATCGGCGAAAAACAAGAGGAATGCCATAAAAATGAAGCCTAAAAAAATGCAACTACTTTTTTTTCGACAAATTTCTTTTTTCAATTCCTACCTCCATCATTTACTCGAAAAAATGTCATGCAAATGTCATAAAAGACTCTACCCAGTCTACTGCGATGAAGCTTCCCAGCCATCTGAAAGCCTTATACTGAAACTGAGACAACTCACTCATTTGTCAGATATTCAATTGTCATGGACAATAATCGAAAATCACTAAATAAATAAACACATAAAAATTTATAGTTAACAAATAAAATTATTAACGAAATTACATAAAAACGCTTATCGTCTATAGCGATATTTCTTGAAAGTGAACCATAATTGGAATACACCGTTCTGGAATTGACATTTATAGCCATTTTTGTGAAGAATTTCCCATTCGCGGTTCACAATCTAAAAAAAAACACGAAAATCGTTTAAAATAATGTGAATGAATATACCTTGAACGCAATGTCCTCATAAGGAGGTCCGGCTTTGAATCGGACCACTGCAAAGTCCCGATCATCGCATGGCGTCACCGTGAACGTCGGCGTCTTGGTATGATCAAGGAGATCCGGGTAGAAAATCTGCAATCAAAATGATAATTCGCTGCAAAACCTATCAAAAAACCTACATTGAATTTATAGCCTTGCACAATTTTTGGCGGCGGATTATCCATATCATAATGCGTCTGATTGTATTTATTCCAGTCGAATCCTGTTTGTACCCGATTGAGATACGTCGGCTTGCGCGGCCGATACTTGTCGGACCACAAATGCTTCTAAACAAAAATGGCTATTAATCAGAAATAAAATCGGGACCGATCAAACCTGTGTTTCCAATTCTTGCTCAACCGAGAACGTCGCCTCGTCTCCTTCCATTCCTTTTTTGGCGATCGCAATCCGCTTGGCTTCATCTTCCTAAAATCAAGATTGCAGTTCACTTCTTTGACAAAGAAGATCATCAAGGCTTACATCAACCACACCATCAGGCTTCTTCCGATTTTTCTCCCTCTGCTCCATGAGCATTTCAGTATCCGTTTGAGCATCAATAATCTCGATTCCTGGCATGGTGTCGTCAATCTCATTGTACGGCGGACTGTAGCATCCCACCTTATACAATTCTAAGGTCGCTTCTTCCAGTTGCTCAGCAGTCAACGCTCTGAAAATATATCAGTTTCAAGCCTGAAAACTTTTTCTTAAATACCGCCATCTATGCTCCCTCCGCTCATCATCAAGCTCCGGATCCTCAAGAGCGCTTAAATCAACCTTCCTTCGAACTTTCTTCGACAGCTTTTCATTATTCTCCTCATCATCATCAACCTCCTCCTCGAACTCCTCCTTCTTGAGAATCTGCGTCTTCGACGCCGACGGTTTCACACCGCTAGCTTCAACCTCCTTCATCTGCTCCTCGCGAATTCGCGCCAGTTTCAATCTAAGCATTTTGCCGTGGAATTCGCGAGTCCGCTTTCTCGCAATGTGCACTCTCAGCTGATCTGAAAAAAATAATTCTAACACGAAAAAAAAATGAGATCAAAAATACCATGAAGTTCCTGCCAATATCCTTTATTACCACTATTCGATCTGATCTTATCAATAATTTGTTGCTCCAGTGTGCATAATTCATCAATCGATTTGTCCTGAATTATTTTAATCAAATTCGCGTGACACTCAAATCTCATCAATTCCAAATAATTGTCATTATTCGAAATGTCAGCTGAGCCAGTAGCCGAAGAGCAAAATGAATTAGCCCCAACAATCGTCGGTAGGTTGTTATTATACTCACATGGGTGTCATTGTTTTTTATATCTTCATTTTATATCAAAACAAGATGATTCGTTTTATGGACCTATTCAAGCAATAAAAGATGTAAAAAAATACAATTTTTCAAAATACTGGGTTGAAAAAAGTCCACATTGAATGTAATGTTTTTTTTTTAATTTTTTCGAAAAAAAAGTAAATTCCATGATTAGGCCCATTACACATCTATCCCCGTTTTTTGTCTCGAAAAAGTCAAGCAGGGATCTTACAGACTCTTGACAATTAGAGGAGTTTGCGCAGACTTTCATTAGTTCCTAATTAAAAGCAGCCAGCGCAAACTCTGCACCACAACTTTTCCGATACCATCAGGCTCCCTAATTCAAGGTCCCGAGCTTCCACCGCAAAAAGCCAACGAGTCGGAGTTCAGCGGCAAGGAGTTGCCATACGAGATTGTCAACGGTGTGCCGTGTTATCAAGAAGGACATGTTATCGACGGGATGGTTCAGGTGAGCACGCACAAAACCAAAACAAAGAAGCGGCGGCGAGAAAAGAGGGAGGCGGCATGTGTTGACCTAATTTTCGACGTGCGTGTGACCTAATTTATTAACTGGGTGGCATTTAAAAAAAACACGACTACACACACGATTGGAAATGGGCGATTTCGACAAACGCGCCGAGATTTTCACGCGAAAACGCGACGCATTTCTACGGCAAATGGCAAAAACGCCAAAAAGCATTGCCGCCAGATCGTATATTGTAATTTTAGTCAAAAAAATGCTATTTCAGAATTGAAGAACAAAATGAAACATTGCAGATTTTCGAGCGAATTGGCTACAATGATCGCGTTGGCGGCACATATTTGGGCATCGGCGGAGACGGAAAAGAGTTGGTTGTGCGCGTTGGGCCAGCCGAGCAGGCGGCCAACATTGTTCGAATGGAGGCGGCGTTTTTGTGCAAGGTGCCTTCTATATTACTCATTTTCCCGCCACCATCCCATTGTTTCAATCGCTCTTTTGTTCAGGTTGAAGCTGCAAACGATTGGCGATACTTCTCACAAGTGCACAAGATCTTCCAAACCGATGACGCTTTCCACATGACACTCTACTTTCGAGGTGGTCCCACTTTGGAACAGTGTTTCCAATTCCGAAATCGAAGATTCACTTTGGGAACTGCCGGACGACTTGCCTCCGATGTTTTTGACGTAAGATTAAGATTATTGTCGAGGGCGAACTAATTTTGGATGTTACCATTTGAATTTCCGCATTGGGTCTCGTATGGAAAAACTCAGAAAAAAATTGAATTGAAATTGAATTGAATTAATTTTAAGTACTTTGGTTGGTAGCAAAACATTCAAATGACGTAATATGAGCACATTTCATTTTACGGGGCCAATGAAAAGAAATCCCGCGGAAATTCAAAATTTTGAAACTCGTTCGCCGACGTCAATATCTCAAAATTTCCCCAAAAGAAATGAAAAGCTTAGATTATTCGATGCGCTCACAAACACGGTTATTTGGTCCGCGACGTCGATATGAACCTTTTCCATTTTGACGCCGCCTGGCGTCATCTCTTCATGGCGGATATCTCATCATTGGTCAAGGATATTGCCAAAGGTGGTGGATTGTGTGTGTCCACGCCTGTCGCTGACTATGTCGGATCTAGCGACTTTGCCCCACTGCGGTCTCACCTGGGCAATAAGGTCGGCGCCCGTCAGGATCTTGAATCATGGTTCTTCCTGTTCATCTATATGGCTCGCGGCGGTTTAAACTGGGATTGGGCACCAATTGATAAGGTTGTTGAGCTCAAAGAGCAGATGATCAAAGATGGAAGTCTTGTGGAGCTTCTCCCACCACAGTACTGAGCTTATTCTATTGATGTTTGAGTTTCGAGTATTTTAGATTCGAGAAGATCTTCAAGATCATCTACAATGGCGACGAAATCTCGCCAGTAAAAGAATCAGACTACGACGAGATTTCGAAATTAGTTGAAGAGGTCTACCGAGATGTCGGCCAAGTAAAGGATCTTGAGGAGAATCTGGACTTCGAGAGAGAACCAACTCCTGATGAGATTCCAAGGTTTTTCAGAAGTTTAATATCTTCAAAAAAAGGGAAAATATTTCAGACTCGTGATGTGCCGCGACGATGAGCTTTAAACAATTTTTCAACATTTACCAAAGCGACCATTTTCGTGATATTAATCATTAGCGTTTCTAAATAAAATACCTTGAAAAGTTGCGAGACTTCTCCTTTGACACTTCCGTGAACCGCGCCGCGATCTTGGCAATCTTTCTTCTTCAATTCTTCGCTGATTATGGTGATGATGTCATTCCAGAAAACCTCGTTGCGATCGTTGGATTCAAGAGTACGGTATATCTAAAAAAAGCCGATGAGAATTTTGACAACAGTTTTTTTTCGTGCCTTGATATCTTCTTCCAAGTCTTCGAGATCATCGCTGGACTTGCAAAGATTCTTGATTGTTTGAATTGGATCCTCAAGCTCGAACTCTTCCTGCTTTTTTTTGTCGTCGGTCCTCTCATCATTGTACCTAATGTACCTTGTGAGAATATCGATAGCTTTTGCTCGGCCTTGCTCAATTCTTATTCGAGTTCTCTCCTGAACTTGCAAAATTTTGTTTGAAATTGAAAAATAAACGTCGTTACCTTGACTTGGTCTAGCTGAAATTCTCGTTCCTTCGCATCCCAAGTTGGCATGTTCTTCATATTCGCGTCTCTCTTCATCATATCCATGTCTTCGCGAGCCGCCATCTTCGCGTCGCGTATCTTTTTGAATTCGGCAGCTTCATGCAAATTCTTCTGAATTCGTTTGCTCGCCCTAAATGAATTAATTAGAACTCACAACAACGTCAAGTCCGCTTACTCTTTTTGAATTTGACGAACCGATAAATGAGCTTTTCCCTCTCTTTCGAGTTTTTTGCCCCAAATGAAGGTTTCCGTCAACTTCGTGTCGTTGAACGGATTATTAAGATTTGTGTAAGCGAGTTCAGGAGGAATCAATGTTTCCTCATCATTGATTCTTTTTCGTTTTTCCTCTTTCAGTCGCTTCTTCTCCATTCTTCGTTGTCGTCGTTCTTCTGGAGTCTCCTTCAGCTTCCTTCGCTCCTTTTCCAGTTTCTTCTGCTCCTTTTTACGTTTTCTCTCCTCCGATAATCGCCTCTGAATAGTTCATTTCGAAATTGGATTCTGGGAAAATGACTTACATCCATTCGTTTATCATCGTCGTCCGAAGAACTGGAACCAGAAGATGAAGATCGACGTCTTTTATGGCTTCTGAAGTTTATTTTTAAAAATGGCTTATTAAACGAAAAATTATTGAAATACCTGTCCCGACTTCTGTCCCTTGAGCGATCTCTGTGGTGCTTCGATTTTTTCTCTTTCGCCATTTTCTGAAATATACGAAAATAGAAACGTCGCAATGAAGCTAATAGAAAAATATATTTCAATCCGAGTTGTTTCCAACACAAAGCTAATCAACATAAAAGAAATACGAGATTGAGCCCTTCCATCGAGCATTACTGACATAAAAATTCGAAGACGCGTTGTGCGCGTCAAGTTTGATGCGTCGCGTGTGTTCACCGATGCCACTTGTTGCGGTCTGATGTTTTTTTCGGAATGCGAATTTTAATGAACGTGCTGAAAAATGAAGTTTTTTTCACTGTTGTTCCTACAACACGATTTTTTGAGAATGGATGATTTCTTTTGCGAAAAAAATGACGCTGGGATAATTTATCACAATAAACAAAGGAACAATAAATTATTTATATCACCCAAGAAATATTAAAGCAAAATGACCAAAAACCAGGAATATTGCATTTAATTATCCACATTTTCACCCCGCACTATTGCATCAAACTTCTTTGTAAATGCAGCAAAACCGAAAAGCCGGTTGACACGCTTTGGACCCTGAAAATCAAAATTTAAGGGGGAAAATGAGAAATTTTAGAACCTCTTTTGACATGTAATTATACTTGTGCTCGCTTTTAATTAGCTCGAGCATTTTTAAAGCAAATTCTTCTGGAGTCTGATCAACAAGGAATCCAGTTGTTTCATTTTCAACACTTTCCATTGGTCCTAAAATGATAATTAAATTAATTAATATATTTAAAAAAAAGAATTCGAACCTCCGCTGTTGACAGCGATCACTGGAGCGCCGAGATACATTGCTTCTACAGGCACAATTCCGAAATGCTCGCGATCCGGAGTGTAGAGAACCGCACGACTTCGTCGAATTAGGCTTATCTTTTTCTCATCGGCTGAAAAAAAGAGAGATTTCATTATAATTATATTGAAATTAATACATGGCGATGTGATAAATCGAATCTGATCGATGGGAATCTTCAATTCGTTCGAACTTTGAACGCATTCATCGAAATATTCCAGATTCTCCGCATTGTTTTTGTCATATCCTCCAGCAATGACCAAATGGCATCTGGAGAATTCTTCTTGACTCAAATCTTCACGCAATTTCGCTGAAATTACGAGCATTGTTTCAAAATCGGAAGTGTTTCTCACCGAAAGCCTCAATTGCGAGAATGATATTCTTTTTGCGCTCAAATCGATTCAATGACGTGAAAACATATTGGATTCCTGGCGGAATAATCGACGACAAATCGCATGATTCAATAGAATCGAAAAATTCCGTATTGAGTGATGGATAGATGACTATAATTATGGAAAAATTCGAAATAATTCAATAAGGGTCTGAAATACCCGTCAATTCTCGATTTTTTAGAGATTTGAACGTGTTGCGTACGATGGAGGCAGTAAATTTGCTGTTGACACAAATCACGTCAGCAAGAGACGTTGTGTATTCCTCAAATTTGTCCAGAACATATCTAAATACTGATTGTTTCTGGGAGAAAATCGCACTTCTCAACCTATAAATGGATTTTGCCGCCGTTTCACGCTTCGTCAGCAGCATATCGGGAAAGTGACAGTAGAAAATGAGGCGAGCACTTGTCAGATATTTCAAAACGATTAAGCTTGCCGACACCTGATCCGACAAAATCACATCGCTGCTATAGAAGAACGCAATGTAAAACGCCGCAACGATCATTTTGAAGTAGGCGAAGAGCGCGTGCATTTTTCCGAATAACGATCGAGGAAACCATTGAAGAACACTGGAGATTTCTGAAGTTTCAACGATTCATAGGCATCGGCGAATTCTACCCTTAAATCTACCCAATTGTTCGGTTTCCTTGAATGCGTGGCTTCGATCAAATTGATTGGTGACGACACGGACTTGATGTCCTTTATTCTGCAAAGCGACGGCCGCATCGACGATTAGGCGTTCAGCGCCGCCTATTCCCAGGTCAGGATGAAGGATTGTCACCCTCATTCTACAATTTTAAATTCTTTATTTTTAAAATGTTTCTCTCGCGAAAATATCCAAGATTTTCAACTTATTCAAAATCAATTTTTTAAAATTTCTAATCCAATTTTATTTCAAAAAAAAGCACAACCATGAACGAAAACAAATGTAAATCATGCAAAATAAGCTCAAACTATCAAATTTCGTGAAATAATCAATTAAAGAGCCTTTAGGCAATCATCAAGAAGGCTGCTAGCTCCGATTCTGAACAATTCCGGAGTGAGCCATTCCTCTCCAAGGATGTCTTTGACAAGAGCGATGAATCCAAGGGCCTCATCGACAGTTCGGATTCCTCCAGCTGGCTTGAATCCAACCTTTTTTTCGGTCAACTCGTGCCATCTCTTTATAGCTGTGCACATCACATAGGCGACCTCCAAAGTAGCATTGACGGCTTCCTTTCCGGTCGAAGTCTTGATGAAGTCAGATCCGGCAAGGATGCTCGCCCAGCTCGCCTTATAAACATTGCTTAAAGTTTTGAGTTCTCCGGTGGCCAAGATCGTCTTCAAATGCGCTGATCCACAAGCCTTCTTCAAAGCAAGAACCTCGTCATGGACAGCTGGAAACCATCAATTTTTCGATCAAACCAAAAAAAAATGAGCTGATTACTCTTCCAATCCTCCTCAAGAGCTGCAGCTCTGCTGATAACAATATCAATTTCGTTAGCACCATCAGCAACGGTGAGCTCGACTTCGACAATTTTCGATTTCAAATGATATTGTCCCGATGGGAAGCCGGCAGCGACACTAGTAATATTGCATTTCTGGTTGCTCTCCTTCAAATATTTTGAAATATCGGCAACACGTTGTGGATAAACACAAACAGATCCGCAATGAACCGATGGATCCTAAAATTACATTAATTATGATGAATAATTCATTCGAACTTGAGGCATTTACAGTTGGAACTGGATTGATGGCTCTTTTAGTGAGCGCGACGACCTTCGAGGCGGTATCATCTCCATTCAAGGTGGTCAAGTCAATGTAGCCGATAAGCTTGCGAACTTCCTCTTTCTAAAAGCCCATATAGAAAATATGAAACAATTGAACACAAAATTACGGTTCGGAGATTTTTGGCCTCTTGCTCGTAACGAGAAGTAGCTTGAGAAATTTCCTGAGTGTCAAAGTTTCGGGAAACCTCCTAAAAAAAGTGAATTAACCAATATTACATTTTTATCTTTTGATAAAAAAAAAATAGTTTTCTTGCTGCGATCATACAAGCCAAGACAATTTTTTTAAAAGTTCCTTTAATTAATTATTTAAATAGTTAAAATGCCTTTTCAAAAGCAGCCACATCGAATCTTTCTTGATAAATGTCGCGAACAAACGAGAACAACGTTGGAACAATGGTGGCCATCTGCAAAAGAATATTCAATTTTTTAAACAATTTAATGAAAAGCAGTGTGCGAAAATGGTGCAAAGCCCATGACGCAAAAGCGCAGGCGCGCGCACTTGGGAAAGCAGAAAAAATGAAACAATGATGAAGTGATCGAATTGATAAGGGAAAATAAATTCTCAATAATGATAAGACGGCCTTGATGCCCTTTGACACTTTGCTGTTAAAAGTAATCCAAAACTGATGAAAGATTGCAACAATTGGATTAAAAACGATACAAAATTCAAAGGAAAACCCGATTTATTTACACGAAACCGTCAAAACTCGATAATCTCTTTCACAATTTTATTTTTCGCGTGCTCAATTTCAATTCCAGCTTCTCTTGCGCCAATCACCGCGGCGCCAATCGATGGCTCTTCCGACGGCGAGTAAATTGTGAGTTTTCGAATGCCCGCGTTTTGCAGCTCATTCTTGAATCCATTGCGAAGTAGGGACCATGATTTGAACACCGATCCAACAAGCACAATATCGACATTCTCCAAATCGCCGGGCTCCAATCCGCGGCAAACCGCTCGAACATGCTTGGCGATCATATGGCCAGCATCATCGAAAAGCTGGGCAATCGCCGGATCAGAAGCATCTGCAAGAAAACAATTTCAAGAAATTAATTCAGAAGAATGAATACGTTCAGCAAGTGTTTTCGTGAATCCCGCAATTCGATGCTTTTCAAATTTCTTATATAAATAGTCCAAAATTCCAATTTTATCCGCTATTTTGAAATGCTGAAAATTAAACAAAAAATTTCTGGATTTGTTGAAAAAAAAAGAACTTGGCACAATAGTTTTCTAATTGTTTCCACCGAATGCGGAGAGGGTTCCAATCCATCATCATGGTCAAAAAGAATGCGCATTGCCCTAAAATTAGCACCAATCAAATTTCAGAGAAGAACAACCAACCGATTGGCAATCCAGAACGCGCTGCAGCCGTCTCCAATCATATGTCCCCATCCACCCGCGCCTTTCACCTCGCCATTTTTGAGCAACATTCGGCACGACGAACCGGTGCCGGCGATAAGGACCATCCCTTCTGAAATTTGATATTTCAATTTTGCCCTCCTATTGCTGGAGCTCACGATTCGAGAAATTTGCCGCCACCGTGCACACAGCATCCGACGACAAGTAGAAATGTTTAGCAATATCGCCATGATGCATTTTCAAGTACATTTTGAATTTATTGTTTAATTCCTCATCTTCGGCTCCAGAAAGGCCCATCCCCTAAAAATCACAAATGATAATTTTCAGGAGAAAATTTAATACCAGCGATTCTAGGGGAAGAACGATGCTATTCTCTTGGGCGATTTTTCGAATCCACGTGGCAACCTGATCGCCAACCGATTCAATGCCTTGCAAATAATAATTGGTCCCATTGGTCTCCGAGAATATGCGTTTTTCCCCAGACTTATCCGTTAAAACCAATTTCGAAGCGGTAGCGCCACTGAAACAACGAAAAAAAAAATGTAAATATATAACTCAATTTTGACCGTGTTTACCCTTCTATTCCAGCAAACATTTTGCACCGCGATTTTCTAAAAAAAAATGTCACGTTTAGTTATTTTTACGCCAATATTCCCCATTTCCAACATACATACTTGACGATTGAACCAATTTCGATTGTGTGCTGTCCGGTTTCGACTTTTCGAATAAGAGTAGCTTCCAGTGAATAGTGTTCGAACAACCGAGCGCAAGTCCAATTATCACTGTAAAAGATGAATATGAGAAATTTTAGATTCCTGAACTTGAAAAGCTTAAAAAATAAACGAGTATAATGTTAACAATCAGGTATTAACTTATCGGTATACTTCCATGATTCATTAGGAGCGATTTTTTCTAAAAAAATTTCTAATTTCGGCAATCTTAATTAATTTGTTCATTTAAAAACCTTCAATTTGGCTCTAAAAATTTTCTTTGAATAACTGAAGAATATTTGAAAAATAAATCTATGCTCCAAATACCGAGAATAAATATAAAAACATTTGATCGCAAGTGTATAATTTTTGTTTATAATTCCATTCATTTTTTTTTCTCGCGATTGTTGATCGCCCCTCTAGGCTCTCCGCATTCGACATACTCTCTTTCCTGATAAGCGAACCATACAACGGCGGCGGGAAATCGGTTCAATAAGTCGGCGATAGTGCGCACGAGACCTCGAAACGTGCTCGGATCGAAAAACACATCTGAAGCGATGATCAAATCGAGCGACTCGATATCGTTCAACACCGTTCGCAGCGATTCCTCGTCGTCCCAATCAAGTCCCTAAATACCGAACTCCCTTTGAAATATAATAAAAATCCATTTTGCGATTTTTGAAGGCGCTTCTGTGGGGAAACAAGCAACATTCTATTGCAAAATTTTCTCTCTCTCCTTCTTATCCAAAGAAAATATGAGAATAATTCTTTGAGCACTTCTTAATCTCCAATTTTTCAAAAAAAAATATGCGAAAGGTGAGTTGATACAACATTAATAAGATTTTACCGTTACTACACAATTTTCCGCAACTTGATTCTTGTACACATTTCCCTGTAAACATTCTAGAGCCTGAAGTCAGCATTGATAGTTTCAATAACTTCTAGTGATTCCAACTTTCCCAATTTTCGGATGATCTGTGAGCCAGACCCGATTTGCACCTAATTTGGCAGCAGTAAGGCCACAAATGCCAGTTGCGCCCGAACCAATTTCCAAAATATTCCGATTCTTGAACAAATGCTCATTAATGCAGATAAATTGTGCTGAAAAAAAAATGATTTTACAATTTTCAAAAAAAAAAAACGATTTCAAAATAACCTAAAACGTTGGCACTTGGCCAAGTATGCTTCCAATGCACTTGATCAGCACCACTCATATCTCATTGTTCTAAAATTAAAGTTATAACTTGAATGGAATAATTACCAATGGAAGAAATATCGAATAGACTTCCAACTCTTAAAATATTACAAAAAAACCAGAAGTTAGGCAATTTTATATTTTAATTATAAAAGACATTGACTATTTACAGAACGTTATCACAATTTTGGTCAAATTATCCGTAAAAAATTCTCAAATAAGCCACGAGTTTTCATCCTCCGCAAATTGTTGGTCTGTTAAAAATGGTTTGTCGATTTGCCTGAAAACTAGATTATCTGAAATAGATTCGCTTGGACAATACGATATTGCAATTGTTCCACAGAATGGACAATCCGAGCCAATGATTTTCGAAATTTTTTGCAGAATCTTTTCATAAAGCTTCTCCTTCACTGAAACCTCAGAATAAGTCAATATAAATTCAAGCTTCTTACCTAAAACTTCCTTCTTCGTACCAACTTTTCTCTCCGCTTCAATCTGGGCGGCAAGTCGAATTTCATCTTGCACTAGCTTATTCAGCACCTTAATTGCGGTCTGTAAATATTCGAGTTGAAAAACAAACAATTCGAAAATTTAATTTTTCAACCTCATCTAAAAACGGGTATATTGCATTTTCCAAGCATTCCCTGTGGAAGAAATGCCGACAAGAATGCACGAAGAAGGGACGCCCCGCTAACGGACGACTACACTGAGAACAAACATCGCTTGCTTTGATTACAGTAACCCTGGAGAATCAAAAAATTGAGTATAATCAAACTAAATTTACCGATTTTTAAGTTTCTCGGTCTTTTCTCGAATCTCCTCGGCTGTCTGGGTCGCGTCTTTGATATTTTCTTGGAGCTCCTTAAATAAGAAGATTCTCTTGAATTAGGTTTCGATTCAACCTTGATCTTTTTCGAGTGCCGCTTCAAATGACTAATAAGCGCGTCCTTAAACTCGTCAATTTTCGTGAATTCGGGGAATAACGGTAGAAGATCCTGAAGAAACCGGAACATGATTTAAAAAAAAAACAGTCAACGTCATTACCTGAATCGTTAGAGTATTTCCCGATTCCTCAATCAGCGATAAACATTTCGGAACATTGGTACTATTATGTTTGATCACATGTTTAGCTGAAAACGCCCAAAAAAATTTCGAATGCTTCAAGTGCATTCTCACCAATCTTAATCCAAATCTGCTTCTTATACTCGGCATCGAATTTGTTCGACGCCTTCGAGTTCTCATCAACCCCAAACATGAATTCGTCACTGCCTTCATCGATCAGCCGCACATATTCCTTCGCCAGCTCAACATCGATCTCAAGAGCTTTCTCAACGGCGTCCGAATACATTTCCGCAACACAGTAGAGGTAGACGATGCATGAGGTGATGCCTATATTGGGTGACTGAATCGAAAGAATTGCTAAAACTCAAAATTACCGGCTTGCTCGCAAGTTCTCATGGCGAAATCAAAATCATACGGTATTGTGCTCCTAATGGTCCCGTGACGTTTGAAGTAGACAATGAGCTTCTCGCTGCGATACTGTAGGGCACATTAGCCAAAATATTATAGATTTGCGTGAAATACCTTGGCCATTAATTGAACGAACAAATTGTGCAAGAATTTTCCCATTGGCAGCCGAAAATTCATAACAATTTCCAAGTATTTGATCGCTTGCACCGCCATTTCTTCGGTTTTCACACAAAGTGCCAACGCCGTCGACAGCTTGTCAGCGCGAATTCTGTCCTTGTGCTCGATGAAATAGTTGACCAATTGTTTCGGAATATATTCGATAAGAATTGGGCTCATTTCGTAGCAGAGCTCATTGTTAGGCTGAAAGCATTTTATATAGAAGTAGAGATGATACAATGGGTTTACGTGACTGTGAAGTAGCTCAAGAATCTTGACATATTGCTCTCTGAGCATTAGAATATTCACCATAGTTCGGATATCTGAAATTTTCAATTATTTTCGCTATTTTAACCATCATTTATACCTTTTACGGTATTTGCTATAAAATACTGCATATCGAAATCAGCATGGGATACTGTAGTTCGGTAAACTGCTTCGAGATTCGTTTGCACGGATTCCTTGATTTTTAATTAGAATTAAATCTTAATTGATTTCGCCTTACAAACACATTTTTCCTCATCACAAATCGCTGAAGATGATCAAAAGCTTCTTTCGCCTGCTCCTCCTTTCCGCGAGCGCGACGAAGTTCGGATAGCTCGCTGAGCTGCACCTCGAGAAGCCATATAACCAAGGCGTCACGCTTCATTCGGTCCTCATGACGATTTAGGCGATCAAGTTTCTTCTCCAATAACGTTTTTAAGCCCATTCGACGATCATCGGTGTTTGAGAGGAATTTCAGAACGACACTTTCGAATGGCTCGCTGCTCTGCGCGAGAATTTCAGCGGCCGCTGTATAACTGGAAAATCATGTTGAGAGAGAGAGAGAGAGAGAGAGAGAGAGAGAGTCATATTCCTCACTTTTTCTCGTCGATATACCAATCGGCCTGTTTTCTGAGCACCATTTCGTACGCTTCCGGATCGATGGAAATTCGAGTTCGCGCGATTTGCAAAGCTTTGTTGAACTCGCGGCGATCCAAATACGTTTTCCACACGAGACGCGCTTCGTCGTTGGCGCGGTATTTGATGGCAACACCTGTCGTGTGAAGCCACATGAAATCCGAAGATGGATCGCTTGAGAATCCACCAGCAGGCCCAAATTCCTTAAATGACCACACCACTCAAGATAAGGTCGTCATTGGGATTACCTACCTGCGGTAGAATATCCTCAAACACCACGTTGTTCGGTGTCAACAGAGAAACGGCCAAAACTCTTGTTGAATAGGCGAGCACCAGATGATAATCGGTGAGAACAACGCCAACAGGTGGTTCGAGCCTTCCCTCGATTAATCGATGTCTGAGAATCGAATATTCGAATTATGAATTCCAAAAATCGAAAATTACTCCAGATTAATCTCCTCGGTGAGAACATTTTGCACACTCTCCGCGTTCACATCAATTCTTCCTATAGCGATTCCATCAGGCGATACCCATGCGAATCTTGTAGGCTCGTTGCTAGCGGGGTGCAAAGCCAAAAAGCATTTATTTCTGAATTTTTCTGACAGCTTGCTTGACGACAGAATATGTTGCTGGGTGTCTAAATTCGCAATTTTTCAGAAAATCGTTTATACTACGAACACGAGTACCTTTGGAAGAGAAGAATGGATGAAATTTGGTGGACGGCGTCTCAGGAGCGGAACTTATGAATCCGGCCTGAAGAGACACCGAGCTCGCGTAACCGGCGACTTTTACTGGCACATGATCAATGTTCGCTGAGAGAATGACGATTCTCGTGGTTTGAGTGATGATGGCCATCCAGGTTTTTAATTTATCGTCATCGTCATTCACGATGAATAGTTGAATTTCAGAAATTGTTGCCGCTTTGGAAGGTGTTGATGTCAGTTTTTCATCAATTGCCGGCTGAAGTTGAGGCGTGAGTTCTTTGAGCACATTGCAAATGCCGCTCATGCTCATTGAGAGCTCAACGATTGATCCCTGTTGGGTTCCCAGCAGAATTGGTCCGGTTTCGGACTCTTTTAAACATTCTGGATTCCATCCGACCGCGGTCACGATACACTGAAATATTTCGAAACTCTATTGTCAATAGAGTTAAACTCTAAAAAACCTTGAGCTTCTTTATCAGATGGAATGTGTTGGTTTTCATATGTACATAATAATTGAGACCCATTTTTGTGGAAACTATTGCATGAAACCCAGTGAACGCTAAATGCACGTGAGCAATTGCGTCAGGTGGTTGAAGAGGCAGCACCAGTTCTGAGTGTTTATATTTTTTTATATAAATAATAATAATTGATTATGGTTCTACCATGATGCCTTTCCGAATTTGATACTGATTGTCGAAGTAGAATCTTGTCGGTAATGGCGGCAAGTAATTCCCCATTTTTTACGACTAAATGTGAGAGATTTGTGAGCTTGTATACCCTAAAATTCAAATTTTGTTCGAATCTCAAAAAATCTTACTTTAAATCTTTCTTGATATCCAGCGAAGTTCTTATGAATATCCCATTTTGATTTCTTACCAAGTTTGCCGGCATTCTGAAACCAGCAAATGTGTTTAGGCAATGAATTTAGTGAGCTAAATGCCTTTTGCAAATGTTTATATTAAAAATTTCGACGTGGCCTAGACCTTACCTAAAGGTGGCCTAGAATTTGGTCTGGTTTTCTAGTCCCCGCACGTTTCCGATCGGCCGAATTTTTCCCGTAGGGCAGCGGAATTTTTCTATTTCTCCATTTTTCTTTTCTTCATTATTATAACATTTATTCAATAGATGCTTTTAGTATAACTATGGCCAATAAAAGGAAATCTGATGAGGAGGAGCAGTTAAATCAGGGTTAGTTGTTTCGATGTTTTTTTTTTTCAAATAATATTCGGTATTTTAGAAGTAAAACGGGTAAAAAAGCAACGAATTTTCAACATAAACTCTCATCCAAAGCGAAAAATTGCTATCCAATTCTTTTATCTTGGTTGGGAACATGATGGATTGGTTCAGCAAACAAACACAGATAATACCGTTGAACAGGTTATCAATTGCGGTTCATTTTCGGTGCCCATTTGTCAACATTTACTTTCAGCACCTGATGACGGCACTGCTTAAAACGCGACTTATAAGTGATTGGAATACCTGCGAATACTCACGGTGTGGCCGAACCGACAAGGGTGTCTCAGCGTTCCGTCAAACCGCCGCATTCATTGTAAGGTTTGTGATTTTTCCAAAATCATATTAGCTTCTTTATAGATCGTGCTGCAAAAACGCTGACAACGCGTTTTGGGATGATAGCGTTGACGACGAAACAAAGAAAAATTATCCGGAGAATAATGAGGAGATGAATTACCTCAAAATGTTGAATAGTGTCCTCCCGACGACTATTAGGATATTCTCGTAAAATAGCAAAAAACGACTTACAATGTTTGATTTTAATTTATATTGCAGATGGGCACCAGTGCCAAGAAAATTCAGCGCTCGTTTCGACTGTAACGGTAGAATTTACAAGTATGCGCTGCCAAAAGCGGATTTGAATGTTGAGGTAGATATTCACCGAAAAAAATTACTTCAATTCTATCTCATTGTAGAGAATGAGAGACGCTGCTTCACGTTTAATCGGTGAACACAATTTCTCAAATTTCTGCCAAATCGACATGAACGAAAAGAGATTGGAGCAGTCATACACGAGAAAAATCTACAAGGTTGAGATTGAAGAGATTTCAAGGTTCATGAAATTATTCTTATTCGGTTTATCTTATCATTTTATTTTCTAGAGATTCGAACAGGCCCGAATTTGATATGCTTGAGGTTACCGTAACCGGAAGCGGATTCTTGTGGCACATGATTCGGTACATTGTCAGCGTTCTTCATGAAATCGGAAGGGGCAATGAGGAACCGGAACTGGTCACGCAGATGCTGGATTTGAACATGTTCCCAAGTCGCCCGCAATATTATATGGCGTCAAATACTCCATTGTGCCTTTTTGACAACAAGTAATGAGGTTTTTTGTGGCACAAGTTGGAAATTTGTGATTCTAGGTATGATAATTGTGATATTCAATGGAATACGGATGAGACACAACTCAATATTGCAATTATTGCGGTGCAAAAGCAGTGGGCCGCGTTTCAAGCAAGGTTGTCATAAAAGAAATCATACTTTGTCCATTTTCCTACTTTTTTCCTCAAAAATTTGAACGAAACGCATTATGCATGAATTTGAACAATTTTTAGAAGCCGGATGATGGAAAATATGCTTGGAGAGCTTACGTCGATGCATCCAAATTTGGAAACCACAAAAGGTCTTCATGAATTCATCCAGGTACATTCGTAAAACAATTAATTCATTTCAAACCCTATTTTTAGGATCGGCCCATCTCATCAAATTATGCGAAGTTCGTTGACCGACCTAGATGTGCAACTTTGCAGGCAAAACGGGAAAGATTGGCCGAAATGAAAAAAGCGACCAATTGAGGACTTGAATAATTAATTTTTTGTTGATTTTTGTTGTTAAAAATTATTTAATTCGATTTTTTTCTAAAAAAACTTGATTTGCGGGTAATTTTACCTATTATATCTTTTTTTTTGAACTTCAGTAATTGCGAATGTTTTAAGATCTAAAAATGCCACCGAAAAAGGACGAAGAAGGAAAAATTTTAAATGATGACAAAGGGGATGCATATAAGGTGCATTTGTGCAAGGTAGCTGTCTTTTATCAGCTTGCCACATTTTTCAGAATAAAATATTTCAGACCGATGTTAGCATGAATTCGAACAAGTTTTATGATATGGAATTTTTCGACAGAAACTCGTCTAATCAATACACGTGCGATTTTTTCTCTTTTTTTTGCAGACAATTCAAATTTCAGAGTGAAAATGATTAATGGAAGAATTGGATACAATGGAGTAACACATTTGAAGCAATTCAGTGATTTGGAGAAGGCAAAAGAGTTTTTTCACAAAAAGTTCACCGAAAAGACGAGTCTTGAATGGGAACAGCGAAATGGGACGCCGGTTCCTGGCAAGTATGTGATTGTTAAGGTTTTTATTCGAGATGTTCCTTCTCAAAATGGAATCCGATTTTTCAGCTTGCCAACCCTGAAGTCGCTGATTTGGGTGTGGAAGAAGAAAAACCTGACACGTCGAGAAGTTCGAGAAGGCGGAAGAAGCAGCCTGACGAGGATGACGAGCTTGCGGAGAAGATTCACAATTTGATTAAAATAATTTGCGATGAGGATGCTCATCTAGGACTTCTTAAGAAGTTGAAGTATAATGAGGAGTTTGGAAAACCACTCGGTATTGATTCATGTTTTTTCGCCGTGAACTCCGTGACTTCAGATTGTCTCTCCATTGAGCAACTTGATGTTGGATATCAGATATTGAAGGAGATTGAAGACTATATAACAGCACGGATCAATGCCGAGGCAACTGCTGCCGCGGCAACGGCAACTGTCAAGTTAACAATGTCGATGAGACGAAGCGGACGGAAGCCGATGATTCGGCCGCCGCCGGCGTATCCGGCTTCCATGACCAATATAACTAACAAATATTACTCGTTGATTCCGCACTCATTTGGGTAAATTTGGTCGATCTCAGACTACTAGTGATGATGTCGTTTGTTTCAGATTCTCGATTCCCCCAAAAATCGATAGCCTGTATAAGATACAACAAGAGAAAGAGCTCCTTGACGCGTTGCGCGGAACCATTCAAACGGCATTAAATGTTAAGAAAGCGAAAAAATTGGATCCGGAGAAGAGTATTTATTATCGATTGTATAATGAACTTCCTTGCACGCTTGAGCTTGTCGATAATGACGTTGCTGCGGTATGGCATTGGACAATTTTTGAGAGAATCATCGACTTGGGTCATTCTTTTTTTAGTTGATTGCCGAATGCTTGAAATTCCGAGCGCCGACGCATTATTACGCGCTGCACTTGATGAACGCTTATGAAGTGAAGAAGAAGATTGTTGGTGATGTGCCGTTTAAAAAGAAACGCATCAAAACGGAAAAGTGAGTGGCTGATTTGGTGGTTTTCCGCGAAAATTATCAACATTCTTTTAGAATGCTTCTCTGGCACGGAACCCGTGTGACAAATGTGTTCTCGATTCTGATGAATGGTTTGGAGATGCCACGTGGCCCGCGCGGTGACTTGATGTTCGGCAACGGCATTTATTTCGCGAACGTTCCCACGAAATCGGCGAATTATTGTAAACCGGATGATGAGGGACGAGCGTTTTTGCTACTTTGCGAAGTCGACATTCATAACCCGCTCGTGGTCTATGAATCGGACACACTGGCCCATAATCGAATGATTGCTGCTGGCAATGGTATTGTGTTTGCCGCTGGAAGACAGTCGCCAAGCGAATTGATGGAAATGTAGGTTTTGTCATTCACGAGGGGGTTTGGAAAGCGTAATCAAGATTCTTTAACGGATTTTGTTGAACAAATTTAATGGAGCACGACGCCAATAGCTTAAAATGAACTTGACATTATTTTCAGCCAAGGCGTTCCTATTTACAAAGGAGGTCTTCAAGAGAATTGCGATAAGCTGTCGGAGCTCATGTATGATGAATACGTTGTTTATGATCGCGAGAAGTTCTTCATCAAATATGTCATCGAAATGCGTCTTGAAAAGCTCAAAATGGAAGAAATAATGGCTCATTGTTAAATAGTTGATTTTTTTTTGTTTTGGTGTACACTTTTCAACTTGTATTTTGATTCGGTTTCTTGAATATTTGGCTTCGATCTCTAACCTCACTTTTTATGGGATACTCATCGAAAAATGAAAAAGCTCACATTATCTATAAAGCGGTGTTTATATTTCATATAATGTAAGCTTTGTGGTTTGGTTTATTTTGGTTTTGTTTTACAAAAAACCATTTTATACTTTTGATTTTTTTTTTTCGTATTGAAAATTTTATTAATTTCTAGCTCAATGAGCCGCAGAAAATTGAATATTATCAACTATGATAGGGATTTTATAAATAATGAAGGTTGGTGTTTGTTTTTTAGACTGAGATTCTAGAATTCCTTCGAGATTTCTAGATCCGAATGATGTTCTGCGATTTTTTATTTTCGTTGAGGAGAACCATTTAAGAATTCGCGACGAGAATTGGAAAATGAATGCGCAGAAAAATTTGGATTTATGGGATGAGGTGATGTCTCTTTAAAAAATGCAACTTTTTGAATGATTGGGTCGTATGCACTTTTTATTTCAGTCTTGTAACGACGCTGTGTTTTATTCTTGAAATTTTTTAATGGGCCTGAAATTTGCATAACATGACGTGATTTTTTTTTGATGATTGGACAGTTTTCGAATTTTTTAATTTTTCGAAAAACAAGCTTCACGTAACCCAATGGAAATTCACTGATTTCTATAGAAAGCCAAGCATTTTTCAACATTTCAATTTCAGTATTTGCGAGAAATTGGGTTACCTGATGGAGCTACACGAGCTGCAGCAGTCGACTATGTACTGGACCATGTGATTTCCAAAATTTATTCCAATAATGGTATTTATTCGTGTTTTTTTTCGCCGAACACTGGTAAATGATTCCGAGTCGTATAAGCTGATATCGCTCTTCAAACGCGGCCAAATACGATTGGGATTTCTTCATATACGTTTATAATTCTTTATATATGATTATAATTCTTCATATACGATTGGGATTTTTGCGTATTCTATTGGGACTTTTGCGGATGTTCGTATACGATTACAAACCATTCATCAGAATCGTATACCATCCTATACGATTTCTTAGCGTATACGATTTTAATTTTATCTTATACGATGAAGAAATTCTGTTTTTTCGTATACGACATTTACCAGAGAAACATCCAATTTTGAACTCCAGAGAAAGCAAAAAGTTGGTGGTCTGAGAAGCATGAGAAAGAGATGGCTGAATTATTGGAGACACTTCAGGACTCATTGAACCCGCTGAATAAAATTGATTGTAAACTCAAAATTCCTCAACTATTCAAGTTTTGTCGTTTCCTTTTTAGACAATTCGCCAGAATTTATGGAAAAAGCGAAATCGATTTGCAGTGTTCTTGGAATTAATACCGACTATTCGAATTCGATGGTTCTTATGAATGTAAGAATTTTAAAAGTTATTATTTTTTTTTCAAATTTCAATCTTGATATTTTAGGCGGCTTGCACTTATATATTGGAGAATTTGAACGAAAAGGTTCTAAATAGTGAGAAGGAACAGAGTTCTGAGGTGAAAATCGGATTCGGGCACCTTCAAAAACTGAATTTTAGCTTCAATATTCGGTTAACCAGGATTCACTGATTGGAATGGAGCCACCGAAGCAAGCTGCGGTTCGATTAGCCGCGGTCATTCTCAAATTGACGAGTATCGAGCAGCTGAGGAAAGCTCAAACGTTAATCAATGAAGCTCTAGCGGAAATTCAGAGACATACCATTGATACAACGAAGAAACCAAATAATTCGCAAGTGCAATACGGAAGGTCTTGAATAAATTATTGTTAATAATTATATAGATATTCGTTGATGGTTTAAATTGCCAATTATTACTTTTTTTTCATAATTCTTTATTGTGTATTAAAATGAGAGTTTGTTAAAGAATGGCTACCGCTGAAACTCGCCGTCGTCCGAATATTCTTATCACAGGATCGCCGGGAACTGGCAAGAGTACGTTGTCGCAACAAGTCGCTGAGAAATTGGGATTTGATTATATTGAAGTAACTCGGAGGACCATTTAAGATCTCCGTAAATCGACAATTTTTTAGATCGGAAAAGTTGTCCGTGAAAACCAGTTGTTTGATTCGTTTGACGAGCAGTATGATTGCTATGTGCTTGATGAGGATAAGCTTCTGGACCACATCCAGGATCGAATGGATAGTGATGACGGGGGAGTTGTTGTCGACTATCATGGTTGCGATTTCTTTCCGGAAAGGTATAGAACGAATCTTTAAAATTAATCTGATTCGTTTTAGGTGGTTCGATATTGTAATTGTTCTGCGCTGCCCGAATAACATTCTCTATGACCGGCTTGCCGCTAGAGGATACGCGGATTTCAAGGCAATTTTGAAAATGGATTTTTTTTTATTTTAAAAAATTTGAGCATTTTCAGATTAAAGAAAACATTGAGTGCGAAATTTTCGGTTCGCTTGCTGAAGAAGCTCGCGACTCGTATGACAACGAGATTGTTCATGAAATGCAATCGCAGACTCCTGAACAAATGGATGAGAACCTGAATAGAATTTGCGAAATGGCTGAAGCCCTCAGGAAATAATAATGTTTTCTATTAATAATATTGCACAATTTTTTGAAGCTCTAGAATAAAGTACGATATTTTTCCTCGCCGTTTCTGATTTTTCAAGAGGTTTTTGACCATTATTCATATTTATAATTTTTGGTTTTGATTTTTTGGTAGTTTTTGATATTCAGATGAGCCAAATGTGGTCGAAAATTCGTTATGGGGTCCGTTGGAATCCTGCCGAGCGTTTGGCTCTCGCCACAAGAGCTTTGAACCTTCAAAAAGTGAAATCAATTGATATTTCCATGGATCCCCTTCATCATGACAACTTATCTATTCGGTTAGATTCAATTAAATCTTCACTTTTTCAATAAAAAATTTTTTAGAACTTTTTGGCATTCGATAATGGCGCCGAAAGTGCGTTTGACGAATCCGAATGTTCGTGTGAAGGCCGATATTAGAAATGATCGACAACCGCCTTATTTCACGGCAACTCTTGGTATATTTTTAATGAAGAATTGTTTCAAAAAGTTCCTTTTTTTCCAGATGACGGACACAAATTGCACTTTAAAACGGAAAACATGTCTGCGATGGATTTGATAATGACCTTTAATCGATTGACTGGACAGCCCGAGCTCGGAAAAGCTGGAACTCGACCGAGACCGAAAATTTGAGAGAAACAACTTGTTTATAGAATAGATGTTATTGTTATTGTTTTTGACTGGTTTTTTTCAGAAAATATAAAAGTAAATTGTACAATATATTTTCGAAGTGACACTAAAAAATAATAAAAACTGATACGAAAAAAAAAACAAATAATCAACAATTTCATATTTTTTGGAAATATTGAAGAGTCAGTGAATTTTTGTCATTTCTGAACCCCAAAACTGGAATAGAATTCCTCAATATAAGAATTTGTCTCATCTTCCGCCGGACACACTGCCGGCAAAATTTTCTATCTGATTACTTAAAACGTGGTTTTTTTTTAGATTGCAGTATACATCAAAAGATAGAATTTGTTAATTTACAAAAAAATTTGAATTTGGGCGAAGAATAGACTATATTACATATTCCGTTTTCGAAAATAAAGGAATCGGTCACCACAAGACTCCCTCGAAGTCAACATTCCATTTTTTCGTTCCTTGTTGAAATTTGAATTTTCAGCGCCGCCAACTGGTACCAGCAAATGATAAGAATTAACGTCGCTTAAACCTTTTGTGCAAAATCGAGAAAATTTCAAAATTAAACCTTAGATTAAATAGAAAATGTGCTTATCAATTTGCACAACGCCTAAAATGAGGTTTGAGTTTGAAAAATTGAAAAAAGCTCGTTCTGTTGAAAATTGTGCGTTTAATAGTAGGATGAAACAATATTTAAAGTTTGAAAACATATTTCATTTTCTGTGGAAAAAAACCCGATGGAAAACTGATATAAATGAAAAAAATGTTTTTCTGTGATATTAGCGTCGCGGTGTTTTCACGCATTTTCGCACGCTATCATTTATTTCATTTTTTTTCTCATCTTTTAAACCTCAAATTCTAATAGACCAAAAAACATTGTCGATGAAGGACGAATTTAAGGGAGTGTTGCTTATTATTCAAATTTTGGCGCTATGGTCTTATAATCATTTTCGATTTGATCTAGTATGAAATACATTGAAAATTACAGTAGATATCACATGGGAAAATTTGTGTATTGCACGCTAACTCAGGCAAATCAAACAAAATATTTTGAGAATCAAATAATCAATAATAAACTCTAAAATATCTCTAAATATTTCTTAAAATCTTATAAGATTTTCTAAAATTTATTAAGCGAATTCTAAATTATCTCAATAAATTATAAAATCTTTTAATAATTAAGAAGATCAAAAATGGCTAACGCGTTTGATTCAAATTCGTCAAATTCGTCCGACGTCGACAATAAAAGATATTTGCGAACAAATCCCGAAAATTTCGCATGTCTTAATGGCACATACGCGTAAATCTACACCATTAACAAATTTATTTATACATATTCAACAAAAAATTATAACAGCATCGAATTTAGCAAAGATTGCATGTCTTGGCGCAGTACAACTTGCGCTGTTCCGGTGTGTAGAACGGATTGGTGCAGAATCCATTTTTCGCCCAATTGGCGCAACTGAACATTTGAATTATGTAATAATTTGCCTTCAGAACGAATTACTTTGTCGAGTTGTCGATGCATGGAACATCTGTTGAGCCGCAGAAGTTGCATGTCACTGGGCACAGTCTTAAAAATAACGCGCGTTAATTGCCTAATTAACTCGCGTAATTACTTGGAAAGCAAATCGTGATATTTCGCGTTGCTGCACAAATTCTTGTACTGGTCGCATTTGGTGTTCGGGTCGTCCTGGCAAGTTCCACTTGTCGTCGCGTCCGAACTACCAGGTGTTGTCGAACCGCTCGTGCCAGGTGATGCGGTAGAACCTGGCGATACAGTACTTGTTGGATCTGCCGTCGTCAAATTTTCTGCGAATGCTGAAAATCGATATCAATTAAAGACGACAGCTCGAAAAATGAAACTTTTACCAATAGCCACAAGCGCGGCGAGAATGAGAAGAGTTTTGCTGGTGGTGGTGGCGTTCATATTTTGCGAAAATCTAGCGGAAATTGCCAACACCTGGCGTATTTATATAAGTTGTCGTCGGGTTATCGCGTTGTGCAACAAAACCATTATCATGCATTTTATTGTACTCGAAACGATAAAAACTAAGCACAAGAGGTTTAACGGATTAGGTGGGCGAGGTCTTGTGATCGAATAGATCAATTCCAAGCGGAAATGAACTCACATGGATGGGGCTTGGGGTATCTTTTTGACGAATTGCACAAAGGCGCATAATAAAGCTTCGGGTATGTACATGATATGGGTGATGGGCGGTTTTTTGTGCAATTTGAGCAACTGGCGGAAGAAAAACTGTTTGAAAGACAATCGAAATGAAATTTAAGCATTGAAAAACGCGGTACGCGAAAGAATTTGACGCTGCTTGTGCACGATGACGATGAAGGCGGCGACGGTGGCAAGGAATAGAAGGCACATTAGAAGGAGGGTGAAATAAAGGCGACCTGCAATTTAGTCTTTCCATATTCATCCTATTAAATTTTCCATTTTATACTTGTGCTGAAGCATGTTTTTTCCTGACTTCGAATATCACGAATCGCCTTTGCCGCACTATTGCCAATTCCGCTTTCCGAATCGCCGTCTTCCAGCTCTTCGAGCCCGAATACCAAAATTCCGCGCTCGGGCAGATCGAGATCTGCTACCGTTACTGGACCCTTCTTACCGTCCTCTGAATGCTCATTAATCGCGCGTCGATCTCATTCGACATTGTCATACCTCGAGCATTTCTCTTGATCAGTCTTCCATAGACACCATCATCGGTGTAAGCGGCTGAAGTGGTGAACGGCTGCTCTGTATCATTGTACGCGGCGTCGTAAGAATTGTCAGGTACCGGAGCCGCCTAAAATCAAATTATTTTCTCGTTCCGAATCCCAGCCATCGCACTTTGATGATAGGCCTTCCATAAGAATCTCCTTGCGGATAAATCGGTTCAGGTTGAGAGTAGGGATTAATTCCCGACGGTGGTGGTGCCGGCGAGCTTGGATAATGCGCGGGTGACTGTGTCACCGGTGATGGATATCCACGAGTACTCGATTGTGCCATATAGTTCGCCGGTCTTGTCGGATAGCCCGACTCGTGACCATCGCCACTGTAATCTCCCGAAACCTCAGTTGTTTTCGATGCCGGCTCGACAGCATATTGAGATAATGGGCATTGGGGTTGCTGAAACAGTGGAATTAAACGCGGAATCAATTAAATCCTACTGTTGTCGAACACCCGTAGTTTTTGTCCTTGATTGTTAACTGTATTTGACAATTGAAATACAAGCCCGCCTTGTCGGCGAACTTGAACACCGGCGCCGATCTGCCCGCAGTCAAATCATTGATGTATTCCAAATTTTGAAGAATGACGCCATCAACGGAACACCTGAAAGCATTGCGGTTTCTCGTTTCTTCTATCTCTCAAATCACCCATTGATGTCGATGACGGTCACCGGTGGACCACCTTGGCCGTCGTATACGGTACACGAATGGACTTTCATGCAATAAATATCTTCGATTTCGGCAACACATGTCCATTTATGGTAGACCATGTCGCCGATTCGCGCGTATTTTATTGGGCTTCCGCCGGCCTCGTTGAGAATTTCGTAGCGGCACACCGGCAATTGCGTTTGGCTTTCAAGCAGTTGCGTCGTCAGCGCCCTTCAAAATTGAATGAGAAATCAGAAGGCGATTCGAAGCCTACGAGACGTCCAAATGATTGTGCACTTTCTTTGTACCTTCCACGTAGAAGCAACTAACCCGATAAGCTCGATCGATTTTCGTTATGAAGATCTGGAAATACACAAGGAAATTTCATGAATTCAAGTTTGAAATTACCGAATGGAATGAGATAATGACTGTAGCTGAGATTACAACACCATTTATCTGAAAGAAAACGAAAATTTAATCGAGAAATATTTTAATTTTCGATTTTTTTTTAATTTCTGGGATACTTTTAATGTGCAAAAAATATTTAAAACGTTCTGGAAAAAAATCGGAAAATAATTTCTAAAAAAATTACTCCCCTTATTTTCTTTTTTTTTTTTCAAGTTAAAATCCATTCCCTCTTACTTCTCTTTGCCTTCGAACACCACAAGAATCGTGTAACACATCGAATCGGTGCGACATTTTGCCATCTCCAATTCCAACACATCCTGAATCCGAGACATACCCCTAAAAAAACACAAGTTGATTTTTGACCAAGTATTGAAAGACTAAAAAAAAAACCTTCACAAACATTTTCCCATGAAATGGGTTTTTGGTCTTGAAGATGAGAGAAATGGCATTGGATTCGCAGACCACTTCGGGCTCGGCTGAAAACAAACACAATGACCTTTGCGATGTTCATAATTGTTGGACGTGCTGGAGGGGGCTAAGTTCAAGGTTGGCATTCGGAAGAAGCTTGCCCATTATCCATCACGCCGTTTTTACGGCTTCTGGGTAATATCTTCAAATATGGAAGTGAATGTTACACCATAAAACCGCATTGTCGAAACCGTGTCATTATTCCGCACCGTCGGCTTTTGGCAGTCGACGCACGCGAAGCAACAAAAAAAACACGACGGCAACAACAAATCGCATTTTGTTTGAAATTGAAATTGACAGCTTGAAATTGAAAGTGAGTTCTGTGTTTTTTTACGTCCTGGGTGACGGAAATGACAATTTAAACCAAGAAGTTTGAATATTTAATGGGAGAAAAATCGAAAACAAAGGGTTTGAAAAGTAAAAGTGACGCAATTAGAGACTTCACGCAAGGATTTGGTTATTAAAAAATCCATCTTTCGGAAATTATAAAAAAAACAAATTTTTAAGCTCACTTTATATTTCCGAAATTAGCATTTTGATTCAAATTTTATAAATTTATATTTATTTTAAAAAACTCAAAAAAGGGTTTTACTGGGAAATACAATTTCTTGAAAAATTCGAAATATTTATTAAAATACCGTACCAAAAATAACCAAGACCTCGGTCTAAGAGACATGCGCCTTTAAAATTAAATACGGTACTTTTTAGACATGCGCCTTTAAAATTAAATACGGTACTTTTTTTGTTTTGCAAATTCCAAATTTCGTCATTGAATTTGTTACATATCGCGATTTTTTTTTCAGAATTCATTGAATTTCGCTTTTTTTTGTTGCCTTTTGGTTCAACAACTTAATTAGTATGTCGAGAACCGTATTTCTCACGAATATTCCAATTCGCCCTTGAAACGAATGCTTGGTTTAGCAAGAAGGTCTCGAATTGTAGAAAATTGAGAATGACAAGCACGTTTGGGCGATTGTCAGGTCTCGAATCGATCAGAGCCTAAGAGATTTGACCTACCGACGAGCCCGTTGTTAATCTGCACCGCATTGTGCGCGTTCGCATTGAACACGCTGATAATTGGTAGTAAGAGAATGGCGCGGAACATTACCTGCAAACAATAATGGGCGACATTTGGCGGATATGGTGGGATGGGCATCTATATTGCATTAATGCAAATCAAGTAAAACGAAGAAGCCATTGAAAGCACAGTTGGAGATCATAGCGCGCAACAGATTACGGCACTAATAAAATGAAACCCACAACAACAAAAAATGTCGATGATCAATGCCATTCAAATACCGAAAAAAAACGGAGGAACCTAAAGGTTTTGAGCGGCAAAATGACTAAAGGACCAGTTTTTCGAATAAATTCGTTTTTGATTATTTCAATCGCTATTAGATGAATGCAAATCAAATTTATTCAAAAACGAAAATTTGAACATGTTTTGGTCATTTCAGAAACGTGACAAATTCTAGTAGTCAAGAAAAAAAGGTTCTAGGCTGGAAATTTGTCCGATTTAGTTTTCTAGATGTCAGTGTTTGTTGGTACCTAAATTCCCACAGTTTAAATTCAAATTTGAATTACCGCCTCGAAAAAATGCGATAGTCCACAATTGAAATGAGACGTAATGAGGTGGATGCGAGACAAAACTCGCAGTTAGTGTCCAAGATCCCACTGTTTAAATCGAAATTTGAATTGCCGCTCTCAAAAGTATTTGGTGGTCCGCAAACATCCCATCCCGAGGGGCTCGTAATTTCAAGATAGCAAAACAATTTCAAATTTGAATCTAATTACATATAGGAATTCGGGTACCGTACTACAAATAACTTGCAAATCAAACTCACCGTAAATCTACACCGGGTGCTCGTTTGTAATAATTTTAGAATGGCTGAAAATTTTTTAATACCCCTATTTTCATATGAGAATTCGAAATTTTCCAATGATGACAAAATTTTTGCTTTAAAATAAATACATTTGATTTCTGAGCTGAAATTAAATTGGGTTGGAATGAAACATTCAAGTGTGACCGACTGACTAATGTAAGTGTCGAGGTTGAATGAGAGAAGATGGGGCGGGTCATTGGCAATTCCAGGAAGCGAACATTAATTCATTCTGTGGGTTTACAACACGCGCAAACGAACATGTCGGTGAGAACGAATCAAACAATAATAATAATAATAATAATCACAATAAATCATTCCGCGCGGATGGATGGCACAAGGGCAACGAGGACGACGTCGTCGTCGGCATCGCCATCGGCGCGAGAAAAAAATGGGCAAACCTGGGCGGAGCGTTCGTCGGCGGCATGCAAGAAGGCGAAGAAGACGAAAGCGATAATTGGTATGTGTCCAAACGATATAAGGTGGTCATGCTGCTTATTACTTCCTGCCATCCATCCATCCAACTCAATGCTTTTTTTTAATATTCTTACTATTAGTGAAAATTTTGTTGGATGGATGATACTGGTTTCGGCACGATGGTCAGTCACTAATGCGCGAATCGGGGCAATACAAAAAAGGTGTGCATTTTTGCGTGCCGGTGTCTACACACAAAAATTGCATTTTCCTTCGAGTTCGAAGGAAAAAAAAGAGCTATTGGATATTAACAACAATTGGCGGTATTTTAAAAAATAAAATAACGAGGAAATGTGAAATTTTCAATTATTTGTTTTCAAAAAGAAAAAAAGCGGGGCTGCAAGTTTTTGATTTTTTTTTTCCCCAAATTTATCATGCCTGGATTTAAGCAGAATTATACCTGTGGTAGGAAATAAGCGAGAATGAAACGCCGAAAAAATAATTGAAACGATCAAGATAAAAGTGCTTTCACACGCCACAAAACCAAATGAACGCGGAGGCTTTCACCTCCTTTTATATATCTGATTGAACCGCGTGCCCAATTTTTGTGTCAAAAAAAAACACGAATACCGACGACGGAATGTTTGTTGCAATTTGTGCGATTTTCACTTTTGTTTTTGTTGGCTTCTTCTTCTTCTTCTTCTGGCGGTTTGCGAACAACACGACTGAGACTTTTACTAATATGCACTATTAAAATAGTGAAAATATGGTGCCAACGTTGTTATTATTCGACGATTTTATGACTCGTCATACCTGGCAATTTTTATCGTCGGATGGGAACAGCTGGATCTCTAGAAGGTTTCCCCCGCGGTTTTAAAGTTTTCTGATTGCATTTTGGGCACTTGAGGTTTTCGGAATTTTGCCGAAGCGAAATGAGGCTGTCTGCACTTGTTCGTCAACTCGAGTGTTTGCACAAAAGCCAAGCGAGATGGCAACAAGTTTTCCATTTAAACCCAATTATTCCCTTCATTTTGATTGTCAATTTCGTTTCCGAAAACCACCCGATTGTAATATGCTTCGTCTGATTGGGACGAAGGCGTCGAGGTAACACGATGGGGTAGAAAAAAAAACCCCAGCAAACGCAAATCGAATATGATAATTGCGGCAGGATTCGTGTCAAATTAGCAATTTGCAGATCATTCTGTTGCCCGCCGTTATTCATTTTTTTTCTTACTCGAAAAACATTCGCCTCAATTGCTCTCGAACAACGCTATGACTGTAATTGGACGACAACACACTCGATTGTTGTTTTTTTTTTTTGCCATCCTTTGTGGTTCACAACAAAAACAAAATTACCGTTTCAGCAATGAAGGAGGGATTTTCGCTGATTTTCGATTCCGAACAAACTTTTAAATAATGGTGCTTGCTGGTAGAAAAAAAACGAATTGTCTTCAATTACCGTATTAAAGGAACATTGATAAATTTTTCGAATATTTTCCGAGCAGGAATAGTTTTTTTTTGGAATGATTATAGAGGATCAGAATTTTTCGCTGCAAGACCTTGTAGTTCAGGAGAAGAATTGCGGTTAAGAATTTTCGAAAAAAAATACGCATGAATAATTACGGTAGCCGATTTTTTTTTCTTTGAGAAGCTGTCTAGAAGTCAGCAAATCCTCCAATGTTAACTTCATAGTGTGTTCACCGTGACGCAAGAATGCACACATTGCAACGTTTCGACGGTAGTGCACACAAATTCCCCCGCAAGCCATATTTGAATTACCGCGATAGAAAACATCTCAAGAATCGTTTTTCATTTCGTTTCAACTGTAGCCCCGTCGAAATCTGTGCAATCACCGATGCAAAATAATCTAGTGCACCAATCATGTCAAATTTTTTTCGAAACCACTTTCAAAAATTCTTGAATTCCAGTTTTTTTGGATTGGCTTTCACCAATTTTCTGCAATTATTCAACAACGCCAAACGTCACATTAACAACTCGCGACATTATTTGGGGGGGGGGCTGGGTAGACCGGAAACTGTTCAAAAATCACGCGAAGGTCCCGAAACGAAACGCGCGGCGTCCAATTCATTTTGCTGTTGATAGGTTTCTTCGCGTGCTGCTCAAGTTTGGATAATCCTCTTGAAAACGAAAAACGACTTGATTGAAAATTTAAAGTCCATTTTCTTTCGGCGCACTTTCCTCCCCTATTTTTTTTTTCGTCGTCGTCTCGTTTTTCAATTTTCCTTCGTACTTGCTTGCTTCCGCGCTTGACCTTAGTTGGTAAGAGATGGTTCAGTTCACAAATAGCATGTATGTCTGTATTATACCTAATTAGGTGTCGGCGGTCAGCACACACCCACAAAGAATGTTGGTCTTGGCAAACACGGCGATTTGTGTTCGAGAAATTATGACGAATGAGGTTGAAATTCGCGTTTTTTTTTCGGAAGAGAATGAATAGAGCTCGAGTTTTCTTGGAAATTATATTATTGAAAGCTTTTAAATGCTTCCACCTTTTTTTTTAAACTTGTGTTACCGTATCCAACGATGTTGACGATAATCTCAAATGTTAAATCGTGGCGTGACCACTGAACTACTTATCTAAAAGAAGCGGGACATTTATATCCCTCAAATCTGAATTTCGCGATTCTCATAAACGACCGTCTTGAGACCCATACAATGATGGCAAAAATTAAAGAAAAAAACATTTCTTGTGTCGAATTTTTAACACGAGAATTCCACTTTTTTGCAATTTCAAGTTGTTTTTAAGCTTTTGAATTCTTTTGTCTCGAAAAAAATAGAAAAAATAACGAAATCAATGGTTTTGATTGCCTTTTAGCCAAAATTGGGAGCCTGAAGACAAAAATGAAAATGGTATTCAATGGTCCCATCAAATCGATTCTGGTGGTATTTTATCGTTGCCGACGAGATATTTGAATTGTGCCGAATTGGCGAGAAGGCGTTCGACTCGCGAAAATTCAATTTTCGCCATCTATTCATAAGCGGTTGAATGACACCAGTGATTCAAATTTTATTTATTTTTTTATTTATTTTTCACCAGACTATTGTAGGTTTTCTAAACGGCGAATTTTGTCGTATTCATAAAATTTCGTATGTGATGGAAGACAAAGAATGAGCGTGGCTGCTGACCAGTTGTTTCAAAAGTTAGTCCGCGCTATTCAAATGTTAGGCCACGCTCGAAATGTGCTTTAAAACCCTTTACTGTAATATTAGTTATAATATTTTCGGCGAGAACCCTTTCTCAATTTCATTTACATGGTCCCAAATTAGTTGAAATGAACACTGGAGGTGCCAATATTCCACACGAGAGACCATATATATAGTGGAAACATTGCGACAAGTTTGTTTTCAGATTTGTCTCATCTCAAATTGAATTACATATATATATATATATAAATATAAATTTATTTTCATTTATTTCTTTCCTTCTTTTTTTTTGCTTTTCCTTTTTCTTCATCATTTTCGCCGTCATCGAGTAAACATTGTGTGCTGCGATTTTCTAATTTTGACCAGATTTTTTGGACGTCGACGACGTCGGCGCTCCGCAAAAAAAAATTGAAAATGGTTTTAAACGCGCAGCTTATTTGAAAATGACGTTTGGCTTCTTAATTAGGACACATAGAGCAACACATACGCAACAATTGGTTCAAAGCATTTCTTTTTTTTTCTCGTACTCTCAAATTACCTTTTCCAATACTAAAAAATTGTCTACAGATGGACTCTTATTTGATTCGCAATAATCCACCCACATTACGCCCTCATCGACGCCAAAATAAATCTTGAATTTTTCGCA